ATCGTTTAAAGGGAGTTTCGTACATATTTTAGTTCTATATAATAATAATAATAATTATTATTATTATTATTATTACTTCTAAAAAAAAGGGAACTACTCTATAAAATATCGCTTATTGGGGGTGGTAAATAAAAATTTCGGTGAGCAACCACTTCATGACCTCAAGTTCAATAAAATGAAAAAAAAAAAAAATTTGATAATGACTAGGGCTCGGCCTTTTTTATTTTTATTTATTTATTATTATTATTATTTTTTTAACATGGCCAATTAGGGGACATGCTAAGATGTTACTAGTGGAAATTGCAGGCTCTTTCTTTTTTCTTTTATTTAAATTGCATTAACTTAAGTAGGATCATGACATGAATCTGTAGTTTGATTCAAACATGTCACCCACTCCTGCATGCCCACTTGGTTAATTGGGTGGGTCCCCCACTCTAAAAAAATTGGATGCAACTTGGTGATGCCATCACCATGAACCTTAATTTGAATTTTTTATAATAATAATTATTTTTTTCAGTAGTACTAATTTGTCTCTTCCTTGATGCTCATTGCTCAACTCTTATTTATTACAATTCACACACCCAGATAAGAGTACCATCCCATTACGCAATTACTCAATCTTGTGTATGTAAAATGTCCAGGAAAAAAGGAAGCTCTACCAGTCATTAATTGAGGAATTTCTAAATGCCAAAAAAAGAAAAGAAAAATCTAATGATAATGCTATTATTTTGACAAAAACTAAAGTAGTTAAACATTGGTAATATTTGTAATAGTAGTATGTATGGTGGGCGGCGGCGGCATATTAAGGCTTTCTTTGTGTATTATAATTTATAATATATATTATATCATTTTATATATTTTTTATTTATGTACTTTTTTCCCTTTTTTTATATAGAAAGCATTTATGTATAGTTCTAGACTTGTTCTACTCAAGGCAAGGATATTGTAAAGGACAGATCACAATCTTCTTATAGGGGTCCCATATCGGGTATGTGTGGTTGGGTTTAATACTGTTATAATTATTATTGTTACTATTTTGAATAAATGTGTGGATGGGGTTAACAATGTGTAAGGAAAACAAATTCGAAATAGCTCCACATGGCATATATATTCTCACTTTAATTTATGGTATTCTTTTTTTTTTTTTTTTTTTTTTTTTTTTTTTTTTTTTTTTTTTCTGGTGGTATTGGCGTGCATGCATTTTACATGTAATTGTGTGGCTAGGGATTAGCAGCTGGGGCCTGGGGACATCATTTTATTCCACAACATGTTTCGCTTCCCCCAAACAAAATTATTTCATCATCTACTCGGCTATTGGGTTTTATATGCTTCCTTCGTATTCTAATTTCATTTTAAATTTTAAAAAATAGTTCTCTATAATAAAAACTTTCTTGTGATTTTGTTCTCTTGCTCCTTTTCAAGGAAAAAAAATATATCTTTTGTATCATAACGTTATAACCGAAGCTATCCTACAAGTATATATTATATATGTACGTTTTGTTTGTATCATTAGTTTATAAGTGTATATTATACATTATTGTGGATAATTGGAAATTAATTATTAATATAAACTATATATTATGTTGAGATCAAAGTCCGAGTTAAGGAACAAATATCGAAACGGAATCCGGGCATGTATGAAATGATCGACTAGCTGCCAAGAAACTAACAGCTAGCTTTTAATAACATTGATAGACATATTGCATATGATATATACACACACATATACATATACACATATTACGTATTGATTATGTACAGAAGTGTAGATGGATAGCGTTAATTGGATAAGGTTGACCAAGTTCCGATGTCCAGACAACTTCCCACGTGGTCTGATATTGACCTGTTGACCGCACGTGGCCTCTATCCACTAACGCACGTGCAGTTAAATCCACTGCTGCTAAGTGCCACATGTATATTTGTGGTTCTCCCGAAGATTCAGTAACAATGATGATGATGATCATCTTCTCATGTCTTTGGCAGTTTCCTGACACATAAATATTTTGGAACTATATATACTACTAATTTCCCCACTTGCTACTACCATGTTCTCTGAAGTCCCTGAATTTTCTTTTCATCTTCCTCTTCTTCTTTTTTTTTGTTTTTGTTTTTTTTTTCCCTCTATTAAGAATTTTTTAATCGAGTATAAAGAGGATAGAAAAACATCTGCCAATTAATTAATATTATAAGTTTTTAATTTCCAGTTGTTTTTAAATTTTGTTTTGATAAATGAATATATTTTTCAATATTTTGCTTCTCTAGCTAGCTATTTTATTCACTGCTTTATATGTATATGTAATTGGTTTTGGAACTGATCTTTTCGCAGAAAATAGTTAATTTCGTTGATCTAGCTATTCTTATTCGTAGTAGGGATATCCGGACATACGGCATTATTATTTAATATTCGTTATTATAGATATGCATCATTATATATAGTATCCGGTGATATTAGAACTATCACATTTTTAAAAGCATAAACATTTATAAATAACAATTTTTAATATAGTATTATGTGTGTAGTAATTAACCACTAATGATAAATGATGATTTTCTTATTAATAAATTATAGGTATCCCCTTCATTGCTTTAGTCCTTTTCTTTTTCTTATTTTCTTGTTGAAATCTCAGTAAGAGAACTTTACACGTCTCACCAGTGGCAGTAACCAAAATAAGAAAACCAAGGAAAGACAACCAAAATTCGGCCACGCGTTTAATATTTGTCTTGAAAAAAAATAAAAAAAACTTATTAATTGCTAGGTTAGTTGGGATTCGGGATTGATAATGATCGCTATTTTATAAAATGTTAAATTAATTCACTATTTTACCAACTACATTATTAATGGATATGCATCTCTATAGTACTTGTCCTAAGTCCTAACTAAGACTTCCACGTATAAATATGATTATATTCTGAGATGTTAGCTTTGTTAACGCAATAAAATAAAATTACAACCTCTGGTAATGATTGCTTAATCAAAAACTTACAAAATCCAAAATATTAAAAAGTTAAGAGATGGATATTTCGTTAGAATTTTCTAAATAAAAAAATGGCCTTTCTTTTCTTCTTCAAAATCTCTCTCTGTGTATAATGGTTATTGATTAACTACTATATATTTCAACAAATCAATAAAGCTGTTTTTTTTAAAGAAAATATTTGATTTATGCTTCCAACTTAAAGTACTTGGAGATAGCAACCCAAAAAAAAAAAGAAAGAAAGAAAGAAAGAAAGAAAGAGAGTATTAGCAACAACAAAAAAAAGATAAAGTCCATTAAACCAAGTGCTCAGTAGATGACATATTGTAGCTTATCCAATGGCAATAATGGTATCAAATTATATGCCGTTTATATCTAGTCAAACATATTCCAATAAAAGAAAAATGTAGCAATGTTATATCATGTAAAAGGGAATGAATGAGTTAATCTAATACGAAGTGTGGTTAGCTAACCTTGGTTAAGAAAGAACATATGCCTTGCCTTAAAATGTAATTGCATCTTTTTAGTACTTTAGTGTATTTTATTCCTAAAGTACTCCATTAAAGAGCCCTAGTTCTTTAAATTTATTTAATTAACTCATTGTTTGAAGTCGTCTCACGTGCTCTAACATGAGAATTTCTTAGGGAAAAAACCCTAAAATAACAAGTCTTAATAAATAATGAAAAAATAGAGAATTTATCCTTAAGAGTGCATGAGTAAAAAGATATCAAGAGTAAAAGGTAAAAATCTTGATACATGCACTTTTAAATGATATTTGTCAAGATTATCCTTTAATAATAGTTATTTTTAAACATGATGATCAACATTTACAATTTATTAAGGATAGGGAGGCATTTAGGAAAAAAAAAAAGGTGAAACAATATATGGAGAATTTTTTTTTATTGAGTATAAAAAATTCTCTATATAGTTCTAGATAATTAGATATTCACTTCCAAAATCACATTAATAAAACACGCAAAATTAACGGAATCATGATTGGACGCTCAATAAAGTGCAATATATTAATATATTTATATTTACCATATACCAAAAAATTCACTATTTGAAAAAAAAGGACAAAAAATCTCCATAATATATATATATATATATATTTAATATAGTGAAAGCAAATTGTCTGCCTTTACCATGCCCTTAATTTGTGTTTTGTTTATTTCAATCATTTTCTCCTCAACACTCAGACCAATCCCCCTTTTTCTCTCTCTCTGTCTCTCACATCTACTCAAAAGCCTCATTCCACAGTCTAGAATATTAACACAATCAATCAAATAATTATTCAATTTGTTTCCCTGCCTAGCTTGCTTGAAGGTGAGAAGCTCTAAACTTAAAATAATGATATCCGGTCAAATCAATTCACTGATCATAAGTGACCTTACTATCTGAAGATCATGTTAATTATATTCCGTTTGGATTATGAGTATTGAGTTTAATTATGATTAGGTGGTTTGGCTGATGCAGATGATGATGATGATGGTGATGAGTTTTGAGGGTTATATCCTCTGTTAATTTCTGTGTGTGTATATATATATATATATATATATGATGTATGAAAATACAAAGTGGGTTTTGAGAAATTAAGGGCAGTTGAGGTCAGTCGGAGTAACTGCTGGCTGGCTTTACAGAAGACCGTGAGCAAATTCAGCATTACTCAACTCAACCTCAACCTAGCTTATCGGTGGTTGCCAACTTTCTCTCTAACTCATCTTTTTTCTTTTTCATATACACATACATACACACTGCATCCATATATATATATATATTCATTCTCGCTCTCTCTAGAGCTCTCTCTCCCTCTCTGAGAGATCTGGCCCATTTTGTTGAAATTTCATTGCTTAGACTACTCCTATTCCTTCCGATCGATGTGATTTTTAAAGCATGATTTTAATTGTTTGCGAAGTCAGCTGTCACACCAACTTGAGAAGATTATGTTTTCTGGTAATTGCATCAATATATAATATTATCGTGAATTCATGATTGGTGTATAATTACTAGTCGGTCAATATATATATATATATATATATATATATGCAGTGATTAGAAATTTTCAGAAATTAGAAAGAAGAAAGCAGTATCTGCTAGCTACGTCTTGGGATCGAGACTCACTGCAGAGATAGAGATATATATATCATCGATCAAGAAGAGAAAATTACAAAACTGGCAAATAATAAGTGGTGGGAGAGAATAGAAGTGGGTATGGCTGCAGGATCAGGATCAGGAGCAGCAGCAGCAGCAGAAAGTTCTAATAATCGATATCATCAACATCAACATCATCAACATCATCATGATCAGCTTCACAACCACCTCTTCTTAAGGCCTCATCAACAAACTAGTACTGCCAATATTAATATTATTGATCATCCCGCTCTTCTTCTTGGTCATCCACCTCAAACATCCTCAGATTTTAAAGAACAAGAAGATGACAATAATAATAATAAGAAGCCCCAACCCACCACTGAGGCCACAGCTTCCGCCTCCAGCCGCCGCTCCCGCGGCCGCCCTGCCGGCTCCAAGAACAAGCCCAAGCCTCCAATTATCGTCACCCGTGACAGCCCCAACACCCTCCGCTCCCACGTGCTCGAGGTCACAGCCGGCTCCGACATCGTCGACAGCGTCTCCGCCTACGCTCGCCGCAGGGGGAGGGGAGTCTGTGTCCTCAGCGGCAATGGCACCGTCGCCAACGTCACCCTGCGCCAGCCCGGGGGAAGCGTCCTCACTCTTCACGGCCGCTTCGAGATACTCTCCCTCTCGGGGACGGTGCTTCCTCCCCCGGCGCCGCCTGAAGCGGGGGGGTTGTCGATATTCTTATCGGGAGGGCAAGGGCAGGTGGTCGGCGGGAGCGTGGTGGGGCCCCTTGTGGCCTCTGGGGGCCCCGTGGTTTTGATGGCGGCGTCGTTTGCAAACGCGGTGTTCGAGAGATTACCCTTGGACGAGGATGAGACAGGCGGTGGAGGCCATGTGCAGCAGCAATCGACGACGGCGTCGCAGTCTTCGGGCGTGACTAATCAGCCGATGACTGAGGGTACTGGAGGAAACATCAGCGGAGGCGGAGTAGGCGGAGGGGTTTCCTTCTTCGGAGGCGGTGGCGGGAATTATCCCTTTTCTGGTGACCTATTTGGGTGGCCTGGCGGTGGAAGTACTGCCATCAGGCCACCGTTTTAGTCACTGAAACGGAGAAATTCGAACTTTAAACCTCAATCCAACCGGAGTTACTTGGTGATCAAGAACTGGATGTTTTTGATTGATGCGAAATCTATTGTTATGTTATGCATATGTACAAATAATAGATATATAGATGTGTATGTTTTGTAAGAGATCAGATAATAATCAGAGGTTGATCAATCTGCGCTTGTGATAAATTTTTTTTTTTCTCGTGTTTCGAATTATTACTCATATTGAATGACTGATAAAGCTGGAGAGGGAGATCATTAATAATTAATTGACATTAGTATGGTTAAGATTATTCCTAAATTTTGATGAAGCTGCAGGTTTTTGGAGCACAAGCTATAAAGACAATCCAACTCGAGCTAGGTCAGTAAAGTTCTTGTATAATACTTCGATCCATTTCTTAATTAATTTTCTGATCTTCTTTCACTCTCTTTTTTCTAAAAAAAAAAAAAAATTTGCTTAGCTAATTAAAGAAAAATCTTTTCTCTTTTTTTGTTTAGCTATTTTGTGTATTAATGCTGGAAACTGCTTTTATATATGTTGCACAACACACCAACCTTGGGTTTTTTTTTTTTTTTTTTTTTTTTTTTTTCTCTTTTTGTATTTCTGTATATTGTATATTCTGCAGCAATACTTGCTAATCATGTTTTGTTTAGGTTCTGGGACTACATAATATACATATAGACGAATCCTTTCGGAGCACATTTATTTAATTACTATATATTGTAAGAGAGAGATATATTGGTTAATAGACTCATTTTAAAAACATTATATGTGCTCGAATTATAAACATTATATATGCAGTACAATATAGAAACCTGGTACTTTTCATTTGTTTATTATAATTTTCATTGCAAATATCTAGTGGTAGCTTTTCCTAAGAAAAGAAAACATAGTATATAGACGTATACGTCCAATGTTTTTTCTTTCTTTCGTTCTTTCTTTTTTATTTATTTATTTATTTTTTGCTTTGATTGTACTCTGAAGTATTGCCCAAACTGCTAGAAGTCTATAATATTCTAATTGCAAATCATGTCGCTTTGTCTTCTCCATTCCTTTTCTTCCCATTTATTACTTCGTGTTCTATAGAACATATATATATAGTGTTTAAGCACGTGAAATTAAGAACCTGGAAAAAAGCCCCCTTTTATTTTCTTTATTTGCAGGGAAGAAACCCTAGAATATCTAAAACTTTTTATAAAAAAGGGAAGACCTGCAGGGATCTCTTTATCAGTGATTTGTCTGAGCAAACGTTTCTGCAGTTAAAATTGAAACAAGCAAAAATTCAAAAAAAAAAAAGAAAAAAAAGAACGCTCTCTGTCAGCTCAGTTACAGCTGTTACATGTAATAAAGCATCAATAATCAATAACAGGGATTGGAGAGAATATGTAGGTTTTTAAAATATTTTGCACGTTAAAACATATGATATATATACCTGCAACCTATTAACACTTGTGCCGTAGTTAGGGAGTAATCTGTGTTAGACAAAAAAGTGATTTCCTTTTCCTAGAAAAATTGTTGTATAAATTATAAAAGAAAAAACAAAAACTTGGAAATAGACACCATCAAAATTCTTACTATAGGAACTTGGAATTGTTATTCATAGGCTTTCGTTTTTGCGTCCTTTGATACTCTTCTTTTGTTTTTTTAACATTCTTTGAAGCTCTTATTTTCACGCCATGTTCGGTAATCGCAATTTTTTTTTTTTTTTTTTTTGGGAGTGGGGATGGTAATTCGCAAAATATGCATGAACGCATAAGATTATAATTTTTCTCGATTATTGGTGTAATTTTTAATATTGTATTTGTTGTTATATAATTAACGAATGTATTAATACTTTAAAGAGTATTTTCAGATCAACAGGATGTAACAAGAAAAGGAGCCAGAAAGAACGAGAGTATGTACTTCATATATACACCACAAATAGGTCATTAGATAAGATAGATATAATATTTGTCATGAGTTCTATATATATATATATATATATATAGATACAGTATAGTACTCTTAGATGTACCTACACAATGGCTCATCAATGCTTACTATATATGTTAGGACATTATTTATAGTCCATTAACAAGTTCTAGCTAAGTTCATCTTTCGAAAAGAATGGACAATATATATTCGGTTTTGTTGTTTTAAATGAAAGTGGATATTATAAAATAATTAAGAACATGTACCTGGAACTTCGATGCTTATATACAGTTTATGAGGTACTCGTCATTGTACAGCTTATCTATTAACAAGTAAAACTAATAAGAAAAAAGTTTATTTTCCGTTTGTCAAACAGCTTGAAGTCATGTACTTGGTGTATTTTGGTTGTTTCTGTACACATTCCTTGCACTTATTACAGATGATTATATAAAGTACTTGATGTACACACATATATATAACTCATCGAAAGCTTGTTTTTAAAAGAGATTACTCAATTACTCAGGCGTTTCACGTAATTCATCTACTTAATTATATGATATACTCGATTAATAAATAACTAACTTTTAGAAGATTTGTTCATACCAACTCTAATTCATATATAGAAAATCTAAAATAGATCAGAATATGATCATAAATGTGGTGTATATGATAAATGTATCTACCACATAAATATGACAACATGACACACTTGATTTGCAAAATAATTTCTCCATATAAAGATTAATATTCAGTAGATCATCTATGTATAGAGTAATTAATTCTAGTGCTAGAGCTATTTAATTTTAGTCTTTGCAACCCATGAATTGAGAAATTAATATTGATCATAGGATTCTTGGTGACAGATTGGAGGCCCCATTAGATATTGCATATTGATTGTCTGAGTGTCAGCGTCTGTTATTGTTAAATGTCTATCGAAATGGTTTCTCGCAAGATAAGATATCTCTATCATGTTTTGTTTTCTACAGACTTCCATTAGGGGAAGATTTGTTCTAGGAGCTACTTATATATAGTTCTGTATATATATACCACGTTTACATATTAGGGTCTATTTGACATGAGCGAAATTGTGTCCCAATGAACAGTAAATTCTTAAGTCCAGAATTGCTTCTCATTGGCCGTGTATGGAATTGATCCCGTTTTTATTTTTTACATTTTTCGAGAAAGAAAAAATAAAACGTTTTTAAAACGGCGTTTGGCGCAATAAAGATAAAAAACGGAAATGAAAACGATTTTTTAGTTTAGTGTAAAATAAAATGAAAGAAATAAAAAACGACTTTTAGTCGTTTTTTATTTTTTATTTTTGTTTTCTCCTCTCTCGAGCAGAGAGAGAGAAAGAGATATTAATGAGTTTTTTTTTTATATTGAAAATAATCTCTTGATAAAACTACCAAACGCATTTTTAAAAATGACTGCTGTCTGAGATTGAAAATATTTTTATTTTTATTTTTATATAAAAAATAAAATTATTTTAGAACGAGTTCCAAACACACTCATCGTGTTTTACTGTTCTTGAACGAAATTAAAAAAAAAAAAAAAAAAAAAACAGTAGAAACCACAAAATACGCGCGACTTAACTTATCAAGAAAACTCTTCTACGAAAGCTTCAAAACTTGTACAAAAGTTTCTGTTAGTTTTTATAAACTTTACTGTAACATGCATTATTAAAACGAATCACGCCTAAACCTAGTAATTATTATAAATTAAGCTAACATAGCATGACAGGCTGACAGCAATGAAACCTCTAGTGTACAGAATTTTTTTTTTCCCTTTCTTTTCGCTTCAAGTACATGAATGTAATAGGGACAATAATTCGTGGGGTGTCCCCACATTGAAAGTACAAACAAACTTTAAAAAAAAAACTTTAAAAAAAAAAAAAAAAAAAAAAAAAAAAAACTATTTTCTTTGGGCCGCCAGGTTGCAGGAATAATAACAGGGCTTTAATCCAGGTTTCTTTCCTAAGAAAAGCCCAAGAAGAAGGCACAAGAATCCACATTCTATACCACTCAAAATTTAGAGTTAGTCAAGGTCCCAAGGACCATGAAATTTTTATTATCATGGTTAAGGATGTGGAGCCGATAACTAAAAGAAAATAGAGTCAACGTGATGGCAAAATAAAAGAATTAGAAAACGTGATATTATTCAACTTGAAGATGAAGAATTCTTCTAGCTAATTACTCTTTATTATCCGCCGCATTAATATTATTGACCCAAGAAACAGAAAATACAAAGTGAAAAAGAAATTGTATATAAAAACGAATTACAAGATATAATTATACATCTAGAGCAGTAGTTCTAGTCTCATATGCAGGGTGAGATGTTGCAGAAGAAGAATTACTAGACAACTTTATGTACTCCAAGCAGTCGGAAATGGCTTCCGAATAAAACAAGCTGTTCAACCGATAATTGTATGACCTAATTGTCATCGATGATGGTGATGTAGTAGTAGTAGTAGTAGTAATGGTGATCATGTTGCACTTGCCCGTGTTGCTGCCATTGACCGAGCCAGGCGCAGTTTTCTTCTTGATGATGACATTGAGCATTTTCATGATGTGGTCATGTAACGCTGACTTCCACTTACACAGCCATATTGATCTGATCAAGGAGAACAACCTCCTCACTCGCAGCCATTCCACGCACAACCGCGGCCTTGCCTTTTTTAGTCGGAAACCACCTCTCCACGGTTGCCCTAATAATATTCTTCTTCTGTTAATCCTGTTATAGCTCAAATACTGACGCTCCATTACTAGTATTAGTCACACTATCTTTTTAAATTACTGGTCTAGAGTTCGAATTCCTCATAATAATAATAATAATAATATATAATGGAGTTGATACATCAAGACTAGGAGGAGAATTATTAAAGACAACTGAAGAAGATAAGTACCTAGTACAAATTAAGATTGTATAGCTAATTACTTGAATAAATGCCCTATAACGAGACAATATTTTCTAAAAGATGGCTCCATTCCATGTATATATGGAGGTGCAATTGCAAAGTTAGGAAAAATTTGAAAGTTACTCTCAAGTGCCAACCTTTTTATTATGCCCATCATTGTCTCATATGTGGACCCTCATGAGAGGACTGTATGTATCTTTGATTATTTGTTTCTCTTTCTCTTGAAATGCTCTATTAATATGATTAGACAAGACTTCTTTTTCTTGAAAATTAAAGTACAAAATAGATATGTAGTAGTGCTTCGAATGTTCTGCTTAAACCTTAAAGTAGGTGGAGAGAGCTGGCTTTTGAGTTTTGATGGAAAAAAAATAGGCACGAAGAATAATTAGAAAAGATAACAAACTGGCCAACAGAATCGTTATAATTAGTTTTAATTATTTAATTAGGAAATAATGACATATACGCGTTTATAGACTAATCCATATTAAATCCAACAAATCTGGCCAACGACGAATCAAATCCAGGTCCCCAAGTGGTTATCCACTTATTAAACCTTCGTACCCTTTTAATTGTTTTATGAACAATAATAAAAACATTAACATGTGTAATGTGTTAGTGGTAGGCAAAAACAGAATAGTATAGTGCACTTAGTTATATGCAAAGTCGCATCAAATACTTTTGTGCAACATCACATGCAACGCACTTTATTAATATTTCTGTGGCTCTTTCCCCCCACTGCAACTGCATGTGCTTATAATTGCAAAAACGAGTGGCTAAGTGGCACCCATTTGCATTGCAACCTCAGCCGTACAACACTCTTAAGGCCACACTAAAGCACTACTGCTACCATTATTTGCACTAGGATCAAAGAAAACATCTTTTCTATCAAAATTTTATGGTCTAAGAAACTCACTTTTAGCTTTTTCTCAAGAGTAGGTTTGAATAAGAATCAGACTAAAGTTTTTCATATGGGATCCATGGTAATTGTAGAGCATGAGCAGTTTGGGATTGGGTTTAGGGTGACTTTGCCTTAAAAAAAAATGATGCAATCTCTTCATAAAAAAACACGAAAAAATAAACTTTTGGAACAGTGGAGCTGCCCTATATGCTTTTAGAACTGTAAAAGGATTAGAGACAATCACCTTTAGACTCGACATGCAATACTAAAGAACCGAGGTTGTTTATTTCAACAAACTAGGAGCCCATTTGGTTCGCATTTTGAAAATGGCCATTTCACAATACTTGTAGGAATATTGGATTGTGAAAATAAATTTCGATTCTTTTTTATTTTTTTTTGTTTTTAAAGATTTTTCATTATTATGGGATCAGGCCAAGCCAATCACTCACTAAGGTTTCACCATATCCCCCAAAATTGCGGAGGTGCACAGCTGTATGGAGAATGTTTGCCAACGCCTCCACCACTGTCGACTAACCTTGCGACCCCAGCCACCCACCACTCCTTTGTGAATCGCAAACCCTACCTAATCACCACTCCTCCAAGAACTCAAGACCCTGCACAACCTAGCGCAGTTGTTGCAAACCATCCAGCTACTCCTCCAATCTCCTCCTTTCATGAACCATCAACTCCTCCTTTGAATGCCTCTTCCATCGTCGATGTCGTTTCCCCATCCAATGCCAGAGCTCTTTTGGAAACAAAGAAAATGATGAATAACATTTTTTTGTTTCTTTTCATTTTCACTAAGGATTTGAGTGATTTCAAAATCCTATTTTTCTTTAATTTAAGAATACAAAACATATTTTATTTAATCCACTGTTTCTACTGTGGTATATGTAAAACTAGTTCTTATATATAGATATTATATATATAACATGTAATATATATACATATATATAATAATGCCAAACTGGTGCAAAATCTCTACAAATCTGACAGGATTTAGAGGCTGTCTTATGTAGCTAGCGCATAGTGGTGAGCTCACAATTATAATTGGCACTTGTGATGGATGGCCCATGGGATTCCAAACTTTATCCAACACCTCTCCTCTCTACAAACTTTAGTTCTCTATCAGTTTACGTCTCTTCAATCTAGGAGGATATACGGAAAAGGCCAACCACGATTTGCATAAATCTAGAATTTTGAACATTAGCCCATCGCCATGGGCATGAATTAAGAATAGGGAACGGGTTAAACATTAGCTCAATTTGATCCAGACCCTAGATTTCTTACAAACAAAATTCTGATCCCTACCTCTCAAAAATTGACTGACTAGTTAACTACAGACAACTACAGACCTATGAAACGAGGAAAATGTTCAAACTGATCCCTGTTCAAACGGAACACGCACAAATAGCCGGCCGTGCAGGCTAACAACGGCTGATGTGTGAAGTGGATCGATTCTTGCAGGTAAGCTCACAACCTGAAAAGGACATCCAATCACAAAATCCAAAGTAAAATTTCTTTCTTTGACCTGGAAAAATCCATTCTAATACTGAAACTAAGAAATCATTAGAGTTAAAGATACAACAAGAAAGAACATTCACCAACAATTCACTGTACACATAAATCAGTTACATATATTGAGATCAATAAAAAGGCAAAAATACCTTTTGAAACGGCGTAATACCCCAAGGATTGTCAAGCTGTTCTGGTTGACCTGTTATCACCAAACGTCCCGCTGGGTCTGATTGAACTCGGACCTGAATGTTGTTTGACATCAGTGATTAGCATGTAAATCATAGTACGTGAACTTTTTCTTTTCTATTCTTCTCTTTTCACCTCTGAACTTCCACAGAACAGACTAAAAATTATTGCACGTAGTAGTAAGAGCCAAAAGTTCACCTCCCAATTACTCAACTCAAAAACAAAAAACAAAAGAAGAATAAGAAGAAGAAGAAGAAGAAGAAGAATAAGAAGCAGCAGCTTTCAAGCATGGAATGAGTTGTCTCTCCCATGCCTTCCGGAATTTATAAAAATATTTAACACCCATTACCGGGAAATCAAAAGGCAAATTAAAGAACCTTCTTATCAAGCTCTATATAAATTTTGAAATACAGGAACTGGTGACAGAGAAACCATGGAGCATGTTGATCTATTATGCTAGGACCAGGAGTACAAGAAATTCAAATAAGCATAAACTGAGCAGAGAATTGCCACCTCCTATGAATATCAATTCCTTGATCATTGGTTTATTGGAAAGGAAAGAGAATGCCACCACCAATAAATGTTACTAAATTAATCGAAATAGTTATCAAAAAGTTGACACCACCTGAACCACAACAATGCATCTGTTTTATCTGAGCTAGATTGTGCTAATACCCTTTAGTGTATTCTGATTCAGCACAAACATAAATAGCAAGAAGACATAAATAAAAGGATGAGAGAAACAGGGTATCACAGGTGCTGACCTCCTCTCGCAGAAGCCCAGGGACAAGCGCATATACCTCGAAGCAATCTTTCTGAGAATAGAAGACAGTGAATTTACTTAAGACACTAACAGAAGGCTTTATCAATAAAGCAATTATCTACAATTACGAAGAAAAAAATTATGCATAACAACCAAAGCAAACTTACGGTCTCGCGCACATTGATCTTTACCCAATCAGCTGGAGGCCCAATATCAACAACACTTGTGACAACTCTACCAAATGAAAACCACGTACCTTTGATTTTGTCAGAAAAATTGCAACACATTCAAATGAATTATGCATGGATGTTTCTCTACTTCTTTTTGTTTCCTTTTTTGGTTGGAGATGTGCAGGGAGCTGATTCCTAGGGGCGGGGAGGTGGTGGTGAGAGCAAATATACATTTTCTTAAAAAATGTGAATAGTTGACTTTCAACCTTGACAAGGGTTTTCGAACGAATTTACTGCCTCCCTAGAAAGTGCTCAAACATTTATCTTTAAGAAATAAAAAAAGCTATTCTTCTAGTTATATCATAACTATGAGGCATGTTGGTGCCTCCTCCCTTGCTCTTTCTGTGATGATTAAATTCAATTCCTACAGGATTCTTTCTCCCATTAGGTTACTCCCACTTTAAAGACAATATCATAATCTAAAAAAGGTACATAGAGAGTGATGATTCAATTATTCTTCAGTAAATGCAGAAATGTAGGCAGAAAACAACAACAAACAAAGAGAACTTATTAAATAAAATATTGTGAAAAAATCGTAACTGCTTATCTGCCGCCACAGTTAAAGTTTTATCAGCATTCTCCAGATTGGTAGGCGTCTTGTGTTTCAGGGAACCTGATGGAAAATACACATGTAAATGCATTTTTGCATGTAACACAAACTAGCAGAAAGAATTTTCATTGCAGGGGTGTCATCATACCAATGCTTTTAAGGTTTTTTTCACGCTTTGAAGCAGAATTTATGTTCTTGTCCTATCCAAGCAACAAAAAAAGAAAAACAAAAGATATTTTATTGCTACACTGCATTTGATCACGTGAAAATTTTTTCTAAACATGAGAACTTGAAAAATATTTCATTATATGCAAAATCTGCTTCCGTTTTAATTTAAGATAATAGAATGGAAGAGAATTTCAACAGACCTTAATAATAGGCTCTGCCACCTCACCATATCCAAGAAGTCGTTGAGCATGCCAACCCTGCATAGCACGTGCTGCAGCGTCCCTCCGTGTCCTACCAGATCCTGGAGCTTGATAACTACTTGTCTGAACAGGAACGGAAACTAATATTTGAGTTATTGTAGAATCTGAATGGCGTAACCTAAAAACTGAATACAGACTGATATACCCGCATCAAAGGATACCAGTGCATTAAAAAATATCAGAGGAAAAATAACATAAAATTAGAAAAATGACTAGACACGTGAACGTGAGAGAAACCATGTCAGAAGAATTCAAAAACAATATAAGCTTTTCCGATAAAGACACTCCAGAACAAAGAAGTTAATATGCAGAAACTTAATTCTACCTCCTTTTCAATACTGGAAGACTGGGGAAGGAATCCAACAGGAAGTTGGAGTTCACCAATTTGTCTCTTATGCTTTTCATATTCGAGAAGGGCCTGCATCAATTGGAAAACTCAAGAAATGAAAAACATTGGTAAACCATGCTATATAGACTAACAAAGAATTTCAAACTGCATATTAGAAAAGTGAAGGTCTAATAGTCTTAATCTCGCATTTTTGTTCGCATACTTGAGGAAAATAATAGCGGTTACCCAGAGAAGTGAAGGTGCATTTAACATATTCAAATTAACAAACATTACCTTCTCGTAAAATATGCGGAATGTCCACGAGACTGTTGTGCAGGTTCTGAAGAAGTTAAATGTGAGAGATTTAAGTTCACAGAGTGGAAAATTGCAATTTGGAAATATATACATATACATATAGAGATACATGTACATATATAGCTTTATATCAGCGAAAGTCAAGAGTAAAAAGTATGTTCCTTACTTGGGGGGATGAAACGACTCTCCTACTTGTCGCCACAGTTTTGATGCAGTCACCTACAGTTAACCAATGTAAGCACTTCGATCACATTTCGCCGAGACACCATACACCAATCCTTAAACACTATGTAACTAAATGCAGATTCAACTCTTCAAACTGTAATGCAAAGATTCCTACAAACTCATAACTTATGTATTTGGAAGAAAATAAGCAGGTAAGGCGAAGAAACAGATCTATGAATATGAAAATAAAGGAAGAAACTTTCACCAGTATAAGAGCAAGTGTAACTCATCGTAATCACCCTATAAAAGAAAAATTATACCCTATTAAACCAGTATTTTTCTGATAAAAAAAATTTTCTCCAAATAAAATTTTACTAATAACTCGAGCATCAAGTTTTCTTTTTTCTGTGCTTTCCCCAAGATAAAGCTCAACTATGTACAAAATATGCTAAATTTAGGCCCCGATAGAGCACTTATTCCTCTAGGTTTCTTCATTATTTTCTCTATAACAACACCACACTGCTTTAGCTTTTAAGATTCTAGTATTGTGGAAGTTTAGCATTGGTGATGACTTTTAAAGCATAATTCATAAGACATTAAGACAAATTGAAGATAAAGGGCAACAACCATCAGGCTGAGCCAAAAAAAAAAAAAAAATAATAATAATAATAAAGAAAAAAGAAATAGAAATAGAAAACAGAAGGTGCAACACACCACTTCATAGCCGCCCAATCTAATAACAGCTCTCCATAGCCTACATTAAATTAGAAGCACGCAAAAATGTTAAGCCAAAGGCAAAAAGATAATGTTCACTTTGAAATATAATATTCACCACCTCGTCAGACTTACTTGAGGCAATTCAGCAGTTCTCCATAAAACTTGGGGGGTTTGAATTCCAAGGCCTTCTCCCTGTGGAAATTCTCAAGCTCCTTCATAAAAGCCACTTGCTGCGCTGGTGTACCATCTTCTGGTGACTCTGCTTCCTCAGCCTCCGCCATCTGTTACTTAAACTCAACAGTTGAGTATTTGTAGAAATGAAGAAAGAAAAAAGAATTATTCAACAAACCTAGTTACTGTGATGCAGCAAAATAGAAATGAAGACGAAGTTTTAACTCTTTCAAGGAGTTAGTTTCGATGCCAAATACTTCTAAATAAACCTCTGGAATCTTATAATAAAAATCAGAAAAACTGACATGAATTACAGAATAAATAAATTCTGATTCCAAAAAACATAATAAAATAAATCTAAGAGAAAATAGAGTGCTGTTTTAACTAAAATGCCAGCTAAATACACTCCTAAGAAGAGATAAACTCAATTCTAGAACTCAAAGTCTTAAACTCACGGTCAAGTGTTTGTAGAAACGTATTTGTAGAAATGAAAAAAGAAAAAAGAGTTAGTTATTCAACAAATTGAATACAACACTCCTTAACTTAAGAAATACCTCGATATCATCGAAGCCATTCTTGACCTCCCCCACGTTCTTATTGAGAAGACGTTTGGGAGTGGAGAATTTCTCAGCATTAGCATCAGCATCAGCATCTGCACGCTGGTTTTGGTGACGGGCACTCTCAGGCGGTTGTTCTGCAGTCACACCATCTTCTGCTTCACCGTGATTATGATTATCAACCTTGTTGTCTTTACTTTCCTGAGCTGCTGCTGTTGCTGGTGGTGGTGGGTCGCTAACAACAGTGTCATCACTACCGTTGCACTTAGCAACTTCCGCCGGCAGTTCACTGGGACCTGCAGCATCGCCATCGTTTGCTGTCTGATCATCACTCCTATCCCTCATGACTTGATCATCATCATGAGTTTGAGCCTCCACCTTTCGCTTTGAGGGACTAGGTTGAGATTCTCGCTGCTCAGAACCATTGCCCAAATCTTCACCCTCCTGCTTACTATCCTTATCCTCCATATCAGATTGGATCCTACACTGTTAATATTTCAATTTTAATTATTATTCACATTATTATTTTGATGAAAGCGTAATCATTAAAAACTCATCTATATAGAGGGAGTTTCTTCTGTAGAATCAAAATAATAGAACTACTGATACTTCCATTTTTTTCACCATTTTTAGTAGTAAAATCTGCATAAAAAACTGTCTATTTTACATATTTTTTTAATCTCATTTAATTTTAACGTCAAAAAACTGGTCTTACCGAGACAATCCCATATATCTTTCTTGCTTACATTGTGATCTAACGAAATTGAAAGGAAACAAATTTCTGAAACTAAAAGCCCTAAACTCTCAGTTTGACCAGTAACAACTAACAAAGCGACAAACTTTAAAAATAAATAAATAAAAGTAATAAAACTAGGAAAAGCGCCAAAATTGGAGCTTTTTGGTTTTCCTGAATTTTCCAATTTTAAAAAAATCTCAACTTCCGCTAAACTCAACAAAATAGGTAAGAAAAGCGAATTTCCGAAATAAAAAACCCTAAGACTCGATTTGGCCAGTACCAATTGACAACAAAATTTAAATAAATATAAAACAAAACTAGAGAAAGCACCAAAATTGGAGCTTTTTTTTTTTGCACTAATTCCTGGTTTTCTATGATTTTTACAATTCAAAAAAAATATATAAATCGAATTATGGAATTCCGGTAGATGCAAGAAGGCGTAGTGAAGGAAAGCTGAGAATGGAGGAAAAGGGCGTCGTGGTTGCAAAGAAGATAGAGTGATTGAAAATGGAAATGCAGGGAAACGAGAAGAAAAAGCGAAACGGTGTCGTATTTTGGAAGGAAGGAAGGAGCGAACGAACGAACGAAGGAAAGGCAAAGGAGGGCGAATAGAATTCTGTTTGGAACAGAAAACAAGAGAAGAAAGAGAAGAGTGAGTGAGTGAATAGTAGGAGAAGTACCTGGTACCTGGTGGGTGGTGGAAATGCCAAATCTGAAAGGAGGAGGGAAAACGGAAATCCGCCCCTACGGCTAATTAAGCCCCTGCCCTGCCCTGCCCTGCCCTGCCCGCGACTCTCTCTCTCTCTCTCTCTCTCGGTTGAAAAGCGCCGTGGATTTGATTCTCTCCATTTTCACTTCTCAGACCCTAATTTACATCATTGATCCCTAAACACCTTTTTTTTTTTTTTTTTTGCTGAACGGTACCTCAATTATTTTGATTCTTTCTTTTTTCTTTTAATTTTGTTGAAACCATCCTCAAAATATTTATTAGTAAGCCTTCTTTTATTGAGTTTTGTTAAATGAATGTTTACAATTAAAGATTTTCTGTTAATGTTTACAAGTTATGATGTGACTGGCGACCTCATTTTTTTTAAGGGCTGGTAAAATGAAGGTTTAATGAACATTAGTTTTGAAAATTAAATAACGCAAATTTAAAAGCTATAACATATAAAAATTAAGAAAAAGATCAAGGGCCCATTTATTTCATATATCCATACTCAAATTATTAGTTCTGTTTTAGAGTTTTTCTCTCATAAAAAATTTAAATTTCAAACGTCAAAATCAAGATCATGATTTGAGTATAAGTTTAAAACGGGCCGTAAAAGATCTTGTAAATTCATCTTCAGCCCCTACTCCTTCCTCCTTATGCCTAGAGGTGAAAATTTGAGACCAGGCCCGGGCCTAATGAGAATTCTGAGCTGGGCCGACCAGGTCCATTATTTTCATTGGGCTGACCCTAAAGGAGGAGGGTCGGCCCGGTCTGAAATTTATAATGTATTTTTAAGAAATTTTTTAAAAAAAGATGTGTTCGAGCTTACCTGATCTGGCCCGAATAAGGTTTTAGACTTGAAACTTAGGCCTAGTTCGGAAGTTATGGCCTTACCGGTTTAAGTGTATGTGTCCTTATTGAATTTCAATACACTAAAGATGTCATCTTTAAATCCTTAACCGTTTATTATCAAGACTTAATCAATCTTTCTAAAACCCTTCCATACATATTCAAACATGAAATAATAAATTTCTTAAATCACTTACAACCCGACAAAAACCCTAATCAAGACTCGAAAACCTAAACACCGAAAACGTACGAAACTAGGATTTATCAGGCCTTCTAACTCTGCAACTCATGTGAAACCCACTTCAACCCCTCACAATCGATCTCATCCACTTATTTACTCATTATAAAAAGGTTCATTATCACATATGAGTTTATTTAACCGACCAAAACCATACTAAACCTTCTTGTTTCACCCCAAATCAACAGGTTTTCACCAATTCGTGCCCCTTTTTAAGTATAATTGAGCTTCATTACCTACTGAGTCCCTATAACTCATGGAAATCATTTTCACAACTCTCTTTTCCTCACTCCACTTACTGGATCCGCCTTCGAAGAAACTTGCTATTTACTGTACAATATGTACAACTTACCACTCAATGCACATTATTAGTATGAGCATTTATCTTAATGACATATCAAACATATAAATCATATGTGTAATAATATGAAATCATGCAATGCATTGCCCGATAAGTATGTGAGAAATCCGGGCATTACAAAAGAAATCTTAAATTGTAAATATTATTAACAGTTTATGGTTTTTTTGTGAAAATAATAAAAATCAAGATAAAGTTGTCATTTATTCAAGAGTTTGGGAGCTATAATGCCAAATTGCGAATTAGTCTTGCAAGTATTTAAGGAAACATATTTTATTTGTTTTATCCGCGACCCCGAAAAAGGAAAATCCTTTTGCATTAATAAAAAAGAAGAGAAACACAGACAGACACGGGGGTTTAGGGTTCGCCAAGATTGGGGATTACCTGACGACTATAATATTCTCCGCTAGATCTTTGCTAGGTTCGTTAAACTTCTCATTGATTTATTATTCTACTCTTATATTCGAGAAATTATTCATTTATTTTTTGTTTGTTGTTACTTAATTGATGATTTTCGTGTTTTCCCGTTTCTTCATTCTTTCCCGATTTCTCTGAATCGAATCAGGCCATATGAGCGGCCGGGGAAACTGAATAATCGTATAAATTCCAAAAGGAGTTTCAGTATTGGGATTCTAGATTTGATTCCGTTTGCACCAGATTTTGTACGATTTACATGAATTTCACGTTCTAGGGTTAGGTTTGAGTGTGGTCTGCATTTTATATAATATTAGAAATGTTTGTTTTTGACGAGACGATATTTGTGTGAATGATGATGTAGGAAGGAAGACGCGATGGAGGAGGTGAAGCATAAATCAAGGAGAGAAGCGTCGGAGGATACGAGGAGGAGTCACCGCGCGAAGGAGAGGAATGGAGAGAGGCACAGAGATAAGAGAGGCCGTGAGAGTCGGCGTTCCGAGAGAGATAGGAGTTCTGATTCTAATGATAGTTATGATAGAGGAAGGGACAGAGAGAAGGATAAGCACAAAGACAGGGATAAGGATAGGAAAGAGAAAGAAAGAGATAGAGAAAGAGGCAGAGAGAAGAAGAGAGACAGAGACAGAGATAGAGAAAGGGAAAAGGACAAGGAAGATAGGGAGAGGGAGAAAGAGAAGGAGAAGAGGGAGAGGGCGAAGGAGAAAGAGAGAGAGAGGGAGAAGAGGGAGAGAGAAAGAGAGGATAAAGACAGGGAGAGGGAAAGGGAGCGGAGGGAGCGCGAGAGGGAAAGGGATAAGGAGAGAGAGAGGGAGAGGAGGAGCACCCGTGAGAGGGAAAACCATCGTCGGGAAATTGATAGTGATGACAGTGATGATAATGTAAGGGAAGAACGTGATAAGAAGCGCCGTAGGAGAGATGATGATGATTACAAGGAGAAGGAGAGGGAGCGTGTACGTAGCAGCGGCAAGCGTGAGGAGAGTCCGAAATCGAGGAGTGCTGAGGATGATTTGGATAAGAAACCGACGAGAGAAGAGGAGTTGGAGGAGGAACAACATAAGTTGGATGAAGAAATGGAGAAGCGGAGGAGGAGAGTTCAGGAGTGGCAAGAGTTGAGGAGAAAGAAGGAAGAAGCTGAAACAGAGAAGCAAGGGGAAGCCAATGCTGAAGAGCCCAAGTCTGGCAAGACGTGGACCCTTGAAGGTGAATCTGATGATGAAGAAGTGCCCTCTACTGGGAAAGTAGAAACGGCTATGGAAATTGATGGAGAAGCCAACCCCAATAAAGGAGTTACAGATGAAATGGCAATAGATTCTGAGAATGGATCTGCTCCATCAGCTTTGCAAAATGGGGTTGATGGCACTTCTGGGGATGAGGAAATTGATCCTTTAGATGCTTTTATGAATTCTATGGTTTTGCCTGAAGTTGAGAAATTGAATAATGCTTCAGAGCCTGCAAGTATTGATGGTAAGAGTTTAGACTTGAACAAGGATAAAAAGGATGATCAAAGCAAGGATGAGCCGTGGAGGAAAGGTCCAAATAAATCTATGGGCAGAATAATTCCTGGGGAGGATTCTGAATCAGATTATGAGGACGTTGAAAATGATGGGGATCCACTAGAAGATGAAGATGATGATGAGTTCATGAAAAGAGTAAAGAAGACAAAAGCTGAGAAGCTTTCTATAGTTGACCATTCAAAAATTGATTATATACCATTCCGGAAGAATTTCTATATTGAGGTAAAGGAGATCTCAAGAATGACCCCAGAAGAGGTTTCTGCGTACCGGAAACAATTGGAATTGAAGTTACATGGTAAGGATGTGCCAAAGCCAATGAAGACCTGGCATCAAACTGGACTTACAAGTAAAATATTGGAGACAATAAGGAAGCTTAATTATGAAAAGCCAATGCCAATTCAAGCTCAGGCGCTGCCCGTAATTATGAGTGGTCGTGACTGCATTGGCATTGCGAAAACTGGCTCAGGCAAAACACTAGCGTTCGTACTTCCAATGCTGAGGCATATAAAGGACCAGCCCCCTGTAGTTGCTGGAGACGGTCCTATTGGGCTTATAATGGCACCTACCAGGGAACTTGTGCAGCAGATTCACAGTGACGTAAAAAAGTTCTCCAAGGTACTTGGTCTTAGGTGTGTGCCTGTGTATGGAGGCTCTGGTGTTGCCCAACAGATCAGTGAACTGAAGCGTGGTGCTGAAATTGTTGTTTGTACTCCTGGTAGGATGATCGACATACTTTGCACAAGCGGTGGAAAAATTACAAATCTTCGTAGGGTCACTTATTTGGTCATGGATGAAGCTGATCGAATGTTTGATATGGGTTTTGAACCTCAAATCACTCGAATTGTTCAAAACATTCGGCCAGATAGACAAACTGTACTCTTTTCTGCTACTTTCCCTCGTCAGGTAGAAATCTTGGCGCGTAGAGTGTTGAACAAACCTGTGGAAATACAGGTGGGTGGAAGGAGTGTTGTGAACAAGGATATCACACAGCTAGTTGAAGTGAGACATGAAAATGAAAGGTTTTTAAGATTATTAGAACTACTTGGAGAATGGTATGAGAAAGGAAAAATTCTTATCTTTGTTCACTCGCAGGAGAAGTGTGATGCTTTGTTCAAGGATCTATTGCGACATGGTTACCCTTGCCTCTCACTTCATGGGGCAAAGGATCAAACAGATCGCGAGTCGACTATTTCTGACTTCAAAAGCAATGTTTGTAATCTATTGATTGCAACTAGTATTGCTGCCAGAGGTTTAGATGTTAAGGAGCTCGAACTGGTGATTAACTTCGATGTTCCTAATCACTACGAGGACTATGTTCACCGCGTTGGTCGAACGGGTCGAGCTGGCCGTAAAGGTTGTGCCATAACTTTTATCTCTGAGGACGATGCTAGGTATGCCCCCGATCTTGTAAAGGCACTGGAACTTTCTGAGCAAGTTGTTCCTGATGACTTAAAAGCTCTTGCTGATGGTTTCATGGCAAAAGTGAATCAGGGACTCGAGCAAGCACATGGGACTGGTTATGGGGGAAGCGGTTTTAAGTTTAATGAGGAAGAAGATGAAGTGAGGAGAGCAGCGAAGAAAGCACAGGCTAAAGAATACGGTTTCGAAGAAGACAAGTCAGATTCAGAAGATGAAGATGGTGGTGTCCGGAAGGCAGGTGGTGAGATCTCACAGCAGGCTGCACTTGCTCAGATAGCTGCCCTTGCTGCTGCCTCCAAAGCTGCTGCTACAACTGCAAATCCTACCCCTATTGTTCCCGGGCAACTGCTTCCAAATGGCGGACTACCCGTTTCTCTTCCAGGTGTTCTTGGTCTGTCATTACCTGGAACAGCAGCAGTGGTGCCTGGAACTGGGCTGCCTCTTGCTGCTAATGACGGTGCAGCCCGGGCAGCAGCAATTGCCGCCGCCATTAACTTGCAGCATAACCTGGCGAAGATCCAAGCTGATGCAATGCCCGAACACTATGAAGCAGAACTGGAGATAAATGATTTCCCTCAGAATGCTCGATGGAAGGTCACCCACAAGGAAACTTTGGGACCTATATCGGAGTGGACAGGAGCTGCAATTACTACGAGGGGGCAATACTTCCCACCTGGCAAAGTCACTGGACCGGGAGAACGCAAACTTTACTTGTTCATTGAGGGCCCTAGCGAGCAATCTGTGAAGAAAGCTAAAGCAGAGTTGAAACGCGTTCTGGAAGACATTTCACATCAGGCTTTATCACTTCCCGGTGGAAACCAGCCAGGCAAATATTCAGTTGTTTAAACGTAAGATCTTGTTCCTGACTTTCTATAGACTTATGGTTGGCTTGTGCTGTATTTCCGTTGAGTCTCTAGGTTACCAAATGTTGTTGTTGTTTTTTTTTTTTTCCTGGGTTTTTTGTGGGACAATCTAAGTTTAGTTCTTATAGGACCCGACTTATCTAGAGTAATTTATTTTCAGAAATTTTGTGATTGGCCGATCTAACTAGCATGTTTTGATTCCTTAAATAAGCAGTATCTCTCCTTCCACTCTCCCCTTTTTTGTTGACCAGTATTTGTGGTGAAATTAAGTTTACCGTCTTTAAATGATGTTGCATTTTGGTTTGCTATGAAGTATTAGAATTTCATTTTCATTTGGCACAAATTTTCGCCTCTTTTGATTTTATACTTTTCTTTCTTTTGTCTGTCGTTTCCAATGGCGCGAGGATGTTTTAAGCATGTATGCTCGCATGTTACATTTTGTCACTGCCCACATCTTTGCTAATGCGGTCTCCACTCTCCCGGGGATACAATCATGGTGCGGCACTGTTTCCTTACAATTCCTCTCCTGCTTAAACGGATGAGTTCAGGACTATATTGACGCGCCTGTTTTCTTTGCTTTGCACGAGTCTTGAGTTTGTAATTGGATATATTTGTTTATTAATATTTTAGTTGTTTTTTCTTTCCAGGTTTCGATAAAAAGCTGAGTCTGGTGATAAAGGAGGTATCATATATTGGTTTTTCAGGCATATGTGGACACCTTAAAGGTGACGTTAATTGCTGCTCTGCCTTTAAAATGGATGGAATCTGTGGCATTGTCCTATCTATCTATATACATATACACATGACTTGAGAAAGCACTTGGGCAGTTTTACCTTGGGATCTTGTAGTCGAGACTTCTTATGACTCGTTTAGTTTATCGTTTTACTAAAGATTTCCTTATTTTTCTTTTCTGCCAGGAATTCCTTTATGGTCGGTAATGCCTATTGGTTTTGTAATTCGTGACTGTAACACAAAATTCTCTTATTTTTCTCTCTGAATGATAATTCCGTGGTTTAGCAGCAGAGAAAGCTTTCTAATAGATTTGTTTCTGTTTTTCAGCCCGAGCAATGTGAACAGAAGATTGTTAATGGTAATCATGGTTTCATCATATATTAAGATACTTTTAAAATGCTCATAGTTTCAGCCAATTACAGGCGATGCAGCATCATCCTTACTCGGAGAATTGTCTCGTACTCTCATATTGAAGCGGAGGCGAGTGTGGATTTACCTACTGGTAGATTAAAGCCGCAAACCAAACAATTCGAATCACCGTGTTGATGTGGAGCCAAACCTCAGGGTTGTTTACTTAACCCGAATGGTTAACTGTACTTGCCTTTTGTGCTGGCGAGATGATGTGTTAAAACACTGACACCGAAACATGCACAACTTTGCCCCCATTTGTTTCGTTAGTTAGAATTCTGGTGCTTTAAACTTTTTTATTTAAATAGAAAAATTCAAACTGTGTAGTTTAATTATAGTTTGAATTGACATTGTGCAGATTAAAATTTTAATCTGAATAGGGAATTAAATTTGAATTTGTGTTTGACAGGTAAAAAGCAGAGAGAGTAGTCACTATTTTACCGTCAAAAAATGGTTGAATGGTTGAACTCTTAAGAGAAAGTTAAAACTCTAATAATCAATTTTTTTAGGAATATGATTTTTATTGATTATTGTATACCACACGCTCGTGTTGAATAGTTTAACGCAGCTTAAATTTACCAAATATGAGTTTGAATTGTGTCACTAATTTGAAATTTACCAAATGCAAAAGAAGCACAATAATATCAGACTTTTTTAAACAAACGGCCAAACTCAATTGGCGCGAGTAAGCGTATGTTTGTTTCGTATACCATTATAAGTTGCATGCACTCTGAGTAAACCGCAGTGAAATTTTTAAGCTGTTCAATCGCATTAAAATTGTAGTAAATAAAAAAATTAATTTTAAAAAATTTTATGAAAATCTATTTTAATTTTCAGCCATCAAATAATGATTGAAACAATCTTTTTATTATTACTAATTATTATTGTGATTGTTATTTTTGTAACGGACTACATATGGCAAATTTCACTAGTAATGCTAAAATATAACAAACATTTTAGAATGTTTTACAAATAACAAAAATTAAAATCATCAAAATAATTAGTTCGTAATTTTTTGACATACACATGAATATCAGTACTATAATCATAGTAATTACTATGTAATTTCTTGTTATTCTTGAAATAATTTTTTGAAAATTGTTGTATTTCAGTTCTGTTCCCTTTGGGTCCTCCCGTATATATAGTATTTGCTATGTATATACATATACGCATGCGGTAAAAGTAAGTGGACTTCCAACGTGGAATATCTGCAAAATTGCAATTGCATGGTTTCACTTCATACCTTCTTTGCTTGCGGCCATTTTTTGGACGCCTCTTTTTTCGCTTTTTTCTGATATTTCCTTTTCCTTTACCTGTTTAATAATCATGATTTTTTCTGCCTTTTGTTCTTCCTTTTATTTTTCTTTTCCTTATCCTTCCCTCTTTTTTTCTTTTCTTCTGTCTCACCCTCAAAACCTCATCTTCATTCACCAATTCTTCAAGGTACTGAGAATGAAAATTTTAAGCTGTCAGATTTGTTGTTTTTTTTTTTTCCCCCCCCTAAGTAGGATTTAGTATAAATAAACACTCTGCAGTAAATTCGTCCATTAATTCTTAATATTCCTGTTTATAAATATATTTTTTATTTAAGTATTTTAAATTGGTAAGTCATATTCTAGTTGGTCTTCCCGAGATTTGAATTTTAAACTAATAATAATCCTTTAGATTAATAAGTAAATAGATAAAAGGAACTAAATCTGTGGTGTTACGACTTATTTTATAGTTATATTTGTCATCTGGTGTTGTACTTATTTATTCTTAAAAATTTTGGCGTTAGGATTGAAGTGAAGTAAATTGGTTGGATTGGAACTGAATAAAGCGAAACAAAGAAAAGAAAAAAAGAAAAAGAATGAAGATTTTGGGACTGTTTGTGACGGCATCGATACCAGTGTTGAAAGTGCTTCTGATAACAACACTTGGTTCGTATCTTGCTCTTGATCGTGTCGGTATTTTCCCTGAAGATGCCAGAAAACACCTGAACACCGTAAGTACTACTTAATACTACTTCTTCTGCAGTTCTTATAATAATAATAATAATAAAAATTATGATGATGATGAGATTGACAGAGAAATTTAGAGTTGAATTACTTGAATCTGGTGTTGTTAATATCATTTAATAATTTGTATTTTGTTGAGTGCAGGTTGTGTTTTATGTATTCAACCCAGCACTTGTGGGCTCCAACCTCGCCAACACCATTACATACCAAAGCATGATTACGTTGTGAGTTTATTATTGTTTGTTCTTATGATCTGCAAGTTCCAACAATGATTTCTGTGGAAGTGATATATATATATATATGTGTGTGTGTGTGTGTGTGTGTGTTACCGAGTTTTGACTTGTTGCTGTTATGTTGTAGGTGGTTCATGCCTGTGAATATTCTAATAGCATATATAGTTGGATCAATACTTGGGTGGATTGTTATCCAAATCACAAGACCTTCTCAACACTTGCGTGGCCTTATTTTGGGTTGCTCTGCTGCCGGTAATCACTAATATTCATCATTTTTTTTTTTTTGAACTGTGACTTGATGCTGGTAACCTTTCATTATGTTTCCTCCAAGTATTTGTCATGTTTTAAATCATCTGTGAATATGTTTGTCTTGATTTGATGGGAACAGGAAACTTCGGGACCATTCTCCTTATTATAATCCCAACACTTTGTAAAGAAAGAGGAAGCCCATTTGGTGACCCTGATGTCTGCTATACTTACGGAATGGCTTATTCTTCCCTTTCTATGGCAGTAAGTTTCTCTTTCTTTTTGTTTTTTTTGTTTTTTGTTTTTTTAACACAGGTTCATCTACTATAAAATTCAAAATTTTACGTTAATTTCCACATGTCTAGTGCGTGGTACGTTTGAGAAATAATTTAAGAAAGTGTTCTTGTTCCACCTGCTCACGAATCACTATTTATCCATGTGAGTACTGTTTAAAGTACATTCTACCTGTTTTGTTCTAACGTTTTTTGTTATAATGTTTTCTCTCACAAACATTTAAATTTTTATTCAAACTTATGAACTAAACAGGCCATTTATTTATTCTTAATTTTTGGTTGTGATGAACTTCAGATAGGATCCATATATTTGTGGTCTTATGTGTATAACATTGTCCGAATATCTGCAACGAGTGACAAGGAGTTCATAAGAAAAGACTTTCCGGTGAGTAAGGCCGCCAAGGAGTCCTCTCGACCGGACCTAGAAGGATCTATAGAACCACTACTGTCGTCAACCGAATTGGAAGAACCGGGTGATAATTCAGATCGCTATGTACTACCCCTCACTGCATCCGAAGGAAGAGCTGAGGCAGCAGTTCCAGAAAGTCATTTAGGGATAACACATCGTTTTCGAATGCTGGTTAGAAAGCTTAATCTCAAGGCATTATTAGCGCCTTCAACTACGGGCACGGTATTATTTCCTTTTCGTTTTAGCCAAATGAATATGTTTTTGGCGTACATCTAGATGTTCCTTTTTTGCTTACCCTCTTCTTTTTGTAGGTTGTTGGATTTGTAATTGGACTCGTTCCTCAAATCCGAAAGACCCTGATAGGAACCGGCGCTCCACTTCGAGTGATCCAAGACAGTGCTTCCTTGTTGGGGTATAACTGTGCCAACAAACTCTCTTTATATTCAGTAAATTGGTTAAAATCCTTGAGCTATTAACTTGGATTCTCACTCTAATTTGTTACATCTATCTTCAAAATCGCTGTTCTTGTTAATGCAGAGATGGAGCAATACCTGCTCTCACCCTTATAATAGGGGGAAATCTTGTTAAAGGTAATATGAAGCCTCCCTTCTGATAACTTCTTTTCCAACTGAATTTGACAGCCGTAAAAGAATCTTGAATTAAAAAATGTTGTCCCTTTTCAGGTCTGAAAGGGGCGGGGATGCAGAAATCTATAATTGTTGGCATTATAGTTGCTCGTTACGTCGTGCTGCCTTTTCTAGGCATATTGGTTCTTAAAGGGGCTGTTCATTTTGGTATGGTGCAGTCTGATCCATTGTATCAGTTTGTTCTTCTTCTGCAATTCGCAGTACCACCTGCCATGAACATGGGTACACAAAAACTACCCTCCTTCATAGAAAATGGTTTCACATTTCGCGCGTTAAATATATATGTTCAGCGTTGAATGGTTCGATTTCCTATTTTCAAACATATTGAAGAACACACTTTTCCCCTTTTAATATAGGAAGTATTACTCAATTGTTTGGAGCAGGAGAGAGCGAATGTTCTGTTATCATGCTGTGGACTTACGCATTGGCATCGATATCACTTACCTTCTGGTCCACCGTGTTCATGTGGCTTGTGGCATGAAGTTTGAACGCGTATATTTATTCAGTTAACTGAACCGAGGCTTAGTATCTCAATTCAATTTCGGTTTCATGTTTTAGATTTTGGTTGATTAACCAAACCAAAAATATAGGTTGCCTTAAAAAATATTTTTTAAAAGTCTTTTAGTTAACTGTCAAAATCGAACTAAACTGATCGAGTATGACAATCCGGTTGGTGTTTGATTTTATACCTCTCGTTGGACGATTTTGGTTCCAACTATCCGTAAAATTAAAATTTTGATTCGGTCACCAAACCGAAAAAAACCGATCAATGTACACTCCTACGTAAAAGGAGCCTAATAATAATAGATAATGAAAGTTGATGGACCGTATGCAGCTGGTATGGAAATTATCAACTGAGAAGTGGGTTTCTTTTGATGCACTGCCAGAGAAACGAAGACCAACTGGAATTTGAGATCGGCCGAAGTAGCTACGAGTCACAAAAAGTAGTTGGTTTTTCTGGTGGAAAAAGGCGCCATAAATTATAAAGAAGCTGAAGCGCGTTTTATTTTCGCCAGCTATGATGTATTCCCTGTCAGTTTCCTAGGAAAGAAAGCATAATTAGTTCTTCCCTTTCTAACTTTTACTTAAACCAAATTGGCAGCTATGATGCCTATGTGTGTGGTGGGCCTATTGGCTGCGACTCATAGGTGGAGTGTTAAGTGCTCTTTTAAAATTTCTTAAAAGGTACTTTACGGTAGTTTGTAGCTTTAAATAGTAAATTTAAGGTTGTTTAATTTATTAATTTAAATTTTTAATTTAAATTGATATATAATTTTATGTGTGAATTTTTTATTATAATAAATAAGTTAAATATGACTATTTTTAAAGTTTTTTATTGTAATAAAATTTAAATCGATAAAATAAACAAGACCTTACATTAGAATAATTCGAGATAAAAAAAGTACGAATTTTCTTTTTAAAAAGAACTTTATGGAAATTTAATGGTTTGTAAGCATACAACTTGAATCTATTAGCGTGCGTTTGGAAGAGATATTTGTGTTATGATTCGAATCATGATTCATAATTCATTATAATATGTTTTCTCATAAAATATACATAAAATAAAAATAATTCTAAATTCCATTAATATTTAATCACTGTTTTATTATATGTCCTATTTAATTTTCTGTTTACCCCTTTTTCTGACGTGGATGATAATTAAGAACTAATGAATGAAGGTTTGACCTGTTTGTAATTGATTGGCGTTTGCAAGAGCCAAGTGGGAGACGTCTCTTTTGATTTTGCGTAATCACTCATCACCCAAAACAGCAAGAAAGAAATGCCCATGAATGCAGTCATGTTTGAAGATCACGTCATTAGATATGTCATGCACTTGCTAACTGGCAACTATGAAACAAAACAAATTCACATTTGGACATTGCCAGTGACCGCCTTATTTGACCAACGCCCAAAATTTCATTTGACGTTTGTCTTTTTTTTTTTTTGGGGTGCTAATCTTGACGTTTGTGTGTTGTTGGGCATTCATTATTGCAGAATTTATGATATAAAAAGTATAAAACAAAAATTATTGGGAATATTATTTACAGGGAAAAAAACAGAAGGGTCCTCCTCTGCTTCTAACCGTAGATATGACCAAATCGCATCTATATCAAAAGTATGCAACAATTCTTTTATATATATATTTAACTTTGATTTTTTGAGGTACTAAGTAAAAATCTCTTTAAAATCTCAAAATTCTTTCGACAGGTTCTACAAAAATAATTATTGAAAAATCTTTTATTTTTTAGTCATTAAATGTCTATCAAAATTTGTCTTATCTAAATATTATTTTTTATTTAAAGCGATTAAAAATTAATCAATACTAACAAAGAGATTTTATCCGAGAAAGACCTAAAAGATATATGCTTTTAATGAAATTTAATAAAGATATAATAAAAAAATGCTTGTTGTGTTGTGTGGGTTGCATATGTACTATGTATTTTGTATGTCGTTGCATATGATTAGACTATGACATTGACGTTGTTGGGAATCATATGACATCATCAAAATGTAAGGACGAGGTACCGGGCTCTAACTAGGGAGCTTCGACATATTTGAATTTGATTTGCAAATAGACGTCTTTTCCGCTTTCCTTTTTTTTCACTAAATTGGGTGTGCTATATTTGTCTTGTTTTTCTAAATTGATTATACTATTATAAGGTCGTTAAAAATATTAAGGGGACGTTTTATAGATTTAGAATTATGATACGAATTTTTATACTAAACATTTCATAAATTGTTTATTAAATGAATATAGTATGTTAGAACAATTTGGACTAAGTTTTGCACCTTTTTCAAGTAGCACTTAACAATCCTATCTATCCTTAATAGATTAAGGGGTTGAACTCTCATTTATAGTATAGTGGGATTGGAACTCAAACTCTCATATGATAAGAATATATTTATTTCTTTAAGTACCATATTTTGATTTTTTTTTTTTTTGTTGGTCTTTATTTTTGGGTTTGAGAAGAAGATAAAGATGCGGTACCCTATATATAATTGTGTCATGTGTGAGTGTATTTGCTATATACGCGCACGCGGTAAAAGGAAAGAAAAGCGTTGAAATGATTTTCCAACGTGGAATGTCTGCAAAATTAAAAAAACTAGAATTGCATGGTTCAACTCAAACCTGCGTTGCGTGCCATCATTTTGGACGCCTCTTTTCTTTGATATTTCTTTTTCCCTTTTAACTCTTTACTAAACATGATTTTCTTCCTTTTTTCTCGCATATAGATACCTTTCCTTATTTTTCTTTTCCTTATTCTTTCCTCCTTTTCTTCTTCCTCGTCTTCGTTTTCTTCTTCTTTTTCTTCTACCTCATCCTCAAACATCAATTCTTCAAGGTACTTGAGAAGCGAATATTTCTAGTCGGATTTTTTTTTTTCAAGTAGGATTTACTTATAAGAAAGAATCTGCAGTAAATTCGTCCCATTAATCAATATTCCAGTTTATAAATTATTTTTTTCTGTTTTTTTATTAATCCATTTTAATTTGTATAGTTTTATTCAAAGCTGTTTGGTTGGTGTAAGATTTATACCGGATATTAATGCAAACGTCTTCCCGAGATTTGAATTTTAAACCTATGATAAACCTTTACATAAATAAACCAGGGAGCTAAATCTATTCTGTAAATGAAATAGAATTTGTTTAGCATTCCAAAGAAATATATAATATATATAATTGAGTAATACATAAATCCGTGATATTACAACATATTATTCTATCTGTAATCTGGATTCTGTTGTTGTACTTATTTATTCTTAATTCTTTTGAGGGTAGGATTCAAGTGAAGTATATCAGTTGGATTGGATTTGAATCAAACGAAACAAACAAAAGAGAAAACCAAAAAGAAAAAAGAAAAAAGAATGGAGATTTTGGGACTGTTAGTGACGGCATCGATACCAGTGTTGAAAGTGCTTCTGATAACAGCACTTGGTTCGTATCTTGCTCTTGATCGTGTTGGTATTTTCCCTGAAGATGCCATAAAACACCTGAACACCGTAAGTGTAACTCAGTTTTGCTTCCTTTTTCTTCTTCTTGATCTTCTTCTTATAATGAACGAATGAATGAATGATGACATTGGTAGATAAATTTATTGTTTAATTGAATAATTTGTTGATTGCAGATTGTGTTTTATGTATTCAATCCTGCACTTGTGGCCTCCAACCTCGCCAGCACTATTACATACCAAAGCATGATTAAGTTGTAAGTTTATAAGTATGTTTTTTTCTTGTCATGTGCAACTTCCAAGTTCTATCCTACATATATTATTTAATCTGAATTTGTTGATTTATTATTGTTATTATTATTATTTTTTTTTTGCAGGTGGTTCATGCCTGTGAATATTTTAATAACATTTATAGTTGGATCAATACTTGGGTGGATTGTCATCCAATTCACAAGACCTCCTCAACACTTGCATGGCCTCATTTTGGGTTGCTCTGCTGCTGGTAATCACTAATATTCACCACTATTTTTTCTTTTTAGAATTGTGACTTAATGCTGGCAATCTTTCATTACGTTCCCTCCAAAGTATTTAGAATCTTTTAAATCATCTATGAATTTGTTTTCACTTGATTTGATGGGAACAGGAAACTTGGGGAACATGCTACTTGTTATAATCCCAGCACTTTGTAAAGAAAGAGGAAGCCCATTTGGTGATCCTGATGTTTGCTATACTTATGGAATGGCTTATTCTTCCCTTTCTATGGCAGTAAGTTTCTTATTCATTTTTACTGTTAATATCCGCGTGTCTAGCGCGTGGTATGTTTGAGAAATAGCTTATAAGAGTGTGTTTGGTTGGAGGGAGAGATGAAGAGGGGTGGAGGGAGAGAGCAAATTATTTGTTTCGTTGGAAGGAGGAGACAAGAGGAAGGGAAAGATGGAGAGAGAGCTCATCCTTCTCGGCCCACAAAATTAGATCCTTCCATTTATGAAAAGATTCATAAATGCATCTAGTTTTACATGTAAAAGACTATTTTATCCTCAAAATAAACTATTAACAAATAAGTTAAATAGATACTATAATAATTTTATAAATAATTATCATCCATCATTTTAACTCTTTTTTTATCTCACCAAACAACCTTATTTGATAACTATAATATTCTCTCTCCTATCTACTTTCCATCTTTCATCCTCTCCGTTCCTCTAACCAAACGGACCCTAAGAAAGTGTTGTTAATTTTGGGTTTTGATGAATCTTCAGATTGGAGCCATCTATTTGTGGTCTTATGTGTATAACATTGTCCGAATATCCGCAACGAGCTCCAAGAATTCCATAACAAAAGACTTTCCGGTCAGTAAGGCCTCCAAGGAATCGTCTCAATCGGACTTGGAAGGATCTAGAGAACCACTACTGTCTTCAACCAAACTGGCAGAACCAGAGGATAATTCAGATCACTATGCACTACCCCTGACTGTATCGGAAGGAAAAACTGAGGCAGCAGTTCCAGAAAGTCGTTTAGGGATAATGCATCGTTTGGGAATGTTGTTTAGAAAGCTTAATCTGAAGGCACTATTTGCACCTTCAACTACTGGAGCGGTGCTATTTCCTTTTACTTTTTGTTTCTGGTGTACATCTAGATGTTCATTTTTTCGGCTGCAGCATTCTTACCCTTTTCTTCGTATAGGTTGTTGGATTTGTAATTGGACTCATTCCTCAAATCCGAAAGACCCTGATAGGAAGCGACGCTCCACTTCGAGTGCTCCAAGATAGTGCTTCCTTCTTGGGGTACATAACTTTGCCCAACAAACTCTGTTTATTTTCAGTAAATTAGCCTTTGCTTAAGGAGTATGACTTGGCATTTTATTTAGTTCCTACTTTCTGAGCTCATGGACTTTAAAAGCCCCGTGTTCTATTAACTTGGATTCTCACTCTTATTTTTTCATTTATCTTCTAAATCGTTGTTCTCGTTAATGCAGAGATGGAGCAATACCAGCTCTCACACTTGTAATAGGGGGAAATCTTCTTAAAGGTAACTGACTTCTTTTCCATCTGAATTTGACAGAACCAGTAAAAGAATATCTTATTAAAATTTTATCCTTTTTTCAGGTTTGAAAGGGACGGGGATGAAGAAATCTCTTGTTGTTGGCATTATAGTTGTTCGGTATGTCGCGCTGCCTCTTATAGGCATATTGGTTGTTAAAGGAGCCATTCATTTTGGTATGGTGCAGTCTGATCCATTATATCAGTTTGTTCTTCTTCTGCAATTCGCATTGCCGCCTGCCATGAACATAGGTACAGAAAGCCTACTCTCTCCATAGAAAATCGTCATATTTCACGCATTAAAGGTGCTTGGCGTTGAACGGTTTAATTTCCTATTTTCAGGCATTAAACGGACTGTTTTTCCCTTTTAATGCAGGAACTATTACCCAACTGTTCGGAGCAGGAGAGAGTGAATGTTCTGTTATCATGCTGTGGACTTACGCATTGGCATCAATATCACTTACCTTCTGGTCCACCATCTTCATGTTGCTTGTGGCATGAAGTTTGAATGCATATTTTTCTTTCCATTTTTTTAAAGCAACCCAGGCAAGACACAGCCTGTGTCTGTGCACGAAGAGAGCTTTGACAAAAAGCATGTAGTGCAGAAGAAGAAGAGTAAGAAGAAAGCGATTTCATAATTTATTTTAGATTTATTGATCACCTATTTCTTTGTCAAATGTGCTACTTGCTCTCGAAGCAAGTAAGCTTTCAAAAATGTCTTCAGTTAGAATTCTTTTTACTCACCTGTTTATCTCAATCAACGTAGCCCATATTTTTTTATTTATTTACTTAATTACCTATTTGCCCTATTAATCGCATAAATTTGCACTTTCCACTTGCGTTAGTAAAGTGGAGCTTAAAAAATAATGATGAACATCATGTTTTCCACATTTGCAGTAGACAACCTTTTTGTTTTTTTTTCTTTTGAAGGGTAGACAATCTGATTTCATTTATACATGCAAAATAATCAACTTAACCGAAGCATTCATTACTACATGGTTTTTCCCTACTAGACAAAACATGAGCAAACTAAAAGAACCGAACTGCTGAAAGAACCAACAGTAATCAACATGTTTGTTGATTCTATCAGTGACTTGTGGCTAAGTCATAGACCAGCCTTGTTCAGATCATCAAAGTAAGGGTGGTCCATGGCTTTCTTCGCTGAAATCCGTAGTGAGGGTTCATACTGCAACATTTGCTGCAAAAATAGACAAAGTTTCAGTAATCGTTTAATCAACAGGTCCAACGGAAATCACGATCTCACATGAAAATGATAGCACAACTTACTGCTAACAGATCTACTCCATCCTTGTCCAAATTAGGAACCGCCTTAGACAAGCTTTGGGGGCTCCATTGGGGATATTCATGCCAGTTCATTAGTTTGCTAACTCCTGGCCACATTGTTTCATTTGGAGTCCCTAATAACCTGCGCATAAACGACACAAAACAACACATAGTTTAAGCAAGCAGGGAAGTGTATTAAAATCACTTAAAAGTGCAAAAAACTGAAGAATTTTGTTTAGTAAACCTGAAGATATGAAGAAGCTGCTGAAGCTCAGAATCTCCAGGAAAAAGTGCTTGCTTTGTGACCAGTTCAGCTACAAATTAGATAGAACATAAGATGATTAAACTGTTTATCGAAGATTCATTGAGGGCTTAAGTCCATGGAAGAGATTCCTTACCAAATATGCACCCAACAGACCACATATCCACTCCAGTTGAGTAATGAGTTGCGCCCAGGAGGACTTCAGGAGCTCTATACCACAGGGTTAATATCTGCACACAATCGCAAGCCATGACCAAGTTTGTTATTGACTGATATTAATTATGTAACAGCAATCACAATCTCTGAAATGAAACAACTTTCTGGTACCTCGTGAGTATACTTCTTAATTGGCACAGTAAATGCTCGAGCTAGTCCAAGATCTGCGATTTTAAGCATCATTGTCTTTCGGTCCATAAGCAGATTGTGGGGTTTAAGATCCCTACATGAGACAGAAAGAGCCAAAATAGCAGATGAAAACAGTAGTCACTCATAAAGCTATGTGCATGTCTTATTATGTCTGATGCGCCATGTACAATCGAAGGAAGAGATTACCTGTGTAAGACGCCATGACCATGGCAGAAAGCCACACCCTTGCAAAGTTGGTACATCAGACTCTGCAATAGAAAAAAGAATTATACATGATTGGTACTTTATTTTAATTTCAAAACAGATTTTTATTGGGGCAAGTATAATATAACAAACAAATCTCAAACAAGAATTCAGTCAAATACTTTGATAATATTGGGAGGAATGTTCTCTCCAGTTTGACGGAAACTGCGGATGAATTTCTTGAGGTCAGTGTCCATGTACTCAAACACCAAATACAGAACTGTTTTGCCTTCCTTACTCAGCCCTTGTTTCACATCCATCAACCTATCGGTTTTCAAAGAAACCACCACATCAATTAGCCTCTAGACTCGAGACCCCACCACCAAACACAAAATTATTTTCCAGATCAAAACCACAGATGAACAGTGACATAGTTGATCAACAACGGAAACAGAACCAAATCAAAACCCTAAAAACATAGACGACTACAAATTTCCATGAAATAGAGCAAAAACGATTCAATAAATGTGTCCCTTCAAAAAAAAAAAAAAAAGATTCAAGAAATGTGCGAAACCCAAATTTTTCCAAGAAATCAAGCAAAGAACGATCCTAGGGAAAAAAAGATTCAAGAAGCGTGTAGAGCCCTAAGATTTTCGATAAAATCAAGCAAAGAACCATCTTTTGCTGAAAAAGAAGCAAGATTCGTAGGAAACCCTAAAAGGTGCAGAGACGGAGATAGATACCGGACGACATGCGGATCGGTGGAGAGCATGCGCAGAATAGAGACCTCGCGGAGAGTGGTGGGAGGAACGCCTTCCTCGTCCTCATGGAGGCGAGTCTTCTTGAGAGCCACGATCTTCCCGGTGGCCTTCTCTCTCGCTCTGTACACCTTCCCGTACGTCCCTTCTCCCACCTTCTCCAGCTTCTCGAACGCCTCCATTGCTGACACCATAGTTGCAGATTTCTCCATTTCTGTTTCTCTCTCTCTCTCTTGATCAAGATCTCTCTCTCTAGAACCAAATTATCTCACTCTCTCTAGACAGGCGATAGACAGATGGAGAGAAGGATTGATGTTAATATAGCCGTTGGATTTAAGAGGGATTTTTGCTCGTTGAGATGGTAACGGCCATTTTTCATTTTTGAAATTCAAATTCCAACCCCAGCACGCTCCGCATTTTCCTTTCCTTACACAGACTTAGCACAGGCCCAATTTATGTTGCTTACATGGGTGGGTGCTTTGACCCAGGACTTGGGGCCCAATCATATTGTCACTGCAAACCTGTCATCATCTCAAAAAAATAATAATATTTGTGCTATAATTTTCTAATCTATACACTAATTGTGCTACAATATTTGGCTTGTTCTCTCATAATAATAATAATAGTAATCTAGAGAAATGCTCTTTAGTGAAAGAGCATAAAAATTTTGTTATTCACGTAAACATTATATTTCCTTTGAGGTTTCAATTTTTAATGTCTCAAATTAACCAACCATATTATATCTCACGAAATTCACTATCTTTTTTTTGGACTTACTTAAGAGGGGGAAAGCTCTCAGAGAGCATATTTTATTTTTCTTTAGGGGGAAGTAAATAACAAATTTATAGTAAATAATTAAAATAAATAGTACATTTTAAAATTAATTGAAATAAATAACAATAAATAAAAAATTTACATAATAAAAAAATCTTTTTAACATGTAAATCTAAGTCCAGTCGTAAAGATTTTTACCATATAAACCCAATTGTAAATAAAATTTACGAACTAAAAAAATCTTTTTACTGCTACTTATTTCAAATATTTTATGGGACTTTCTCCGGGGTACGCCAACATATCGATAGGATAAATTTTGTGTTCATTAAATCTGTATAAAATCACGTAAAAATAAAAAAATATGCAGATTTAACGATTAAAAAAACCTGATATGTCAGTACGTCAAACGTATCAAAAAATTCTCATATTTTAAAATCTGTTATTTATTTAATTTAGTTTTAAAAATACGTTATTTACCGCAATTTTGACCATAATGCCAATTACATGTTGTATTTATCCGGAATAGAGTTGTTATATATACACACGTGCAAAAGTCTTCATTGAAAAAAAAAAAAATGAGAAACTTCAATTCTAATGGCACGATTCAAACGGTGGCCGAGTGCTGTCATATAAAAAGATAACAAAGAAATAGAAGAAGAAAAATGGACCTCAACGTCAAAATTTATTTCATGAATATCAGTTGAAAAAAAAAATAAAAAGAAAAAGAAAAACTCGTCTTCTGCCACTAAGTACACCTAATTTAATCTTTGCATTTAAATTGGAAGAGAAAAGGGAATAAAAAGAAATACAGTCTATCTAGCAATATATCTAAACAAGTGAATGTATGGTAATATTGGAGACAGCCCTCCTCCTAGTTGCTCTTATATTTATTTTACATACAAAGGATGAGATGGAGCCATAGCTGACCAATTCGGTATATTCACTCTTTTTTGTTTTCGCCATGTGACAATTTTCTTTTACCGACACACGCATGAAGATGCATGCATATCACCAATACCAATAAAACACCAATAATGATGAATAGCAGTGCTCCAATGCTCCATATCTAAATTCTGAGGTTGAGCCTCACATTCTCGACATTCACTGATATCTTCAACTTTCGTTCTTCCATATCCTTGAGAACAGCAAGAAGCTTTGCTCTATATGCTTCGCATCGCTTACTTGCATCTTCCAGTTCAGCACTCAATTCCTCAATTTTCTTGTCTTGATCCTACACAATTTTTTTAGTTAAATAATACAGAGATGGAAGTTGCAGAGATAGATAAACCGAACAAATCAAAAAGAATCAAAGCATGAAAGAACGACTGCAGAAAAAGCCACATCACATGGGTTTCACTAACCTAAACCGAGCAGGCTTTAATAAGAAGCATATTTCTCAGCTTAAGATTGCTGAATTTCGGTTATTATTAGAGCCACAGATGAAGTGCCTCCTAAATCTTTGTCCTCCCCCAGTTATTATTGACCTAACAAAAGCCATTAGATTATGCCCAGAGAAATCTTTTAATCTCATTAAAAGATTGGCAAACTCAATTAATCCTACGTTAATCTTTCTTTTTCAAACATATATGACATAATATATAAACAATCTTCAAAGGCAAAATGAAGTAAAGCTTTAGCAACTTGCTCACACTCTCGGAATTGAAAAGAAAAGGCAATAGGATAATTCCTTTCGGAATTTTTAGCACAAATAATGGTACCCTTAGTTATTTTCATTCAACCCGTTCGAGCCCAGGACATTTTATAGCAAGACACAATAATGCCAAAATCCAAAGGCCACGAAAAGATGAATTATGACTCACCAATGAGTAAGACTGATGCTGCTGGCTGCCATGATAAGCAGTATTTTGTGTGACTACAGGAACATGCTTTTTTGCTGCAGCAACTTTCTTTGCAGCCTCACGAAGAGAATCCATTGCCACATTATAAGTATGCACTGATTCAGCTCCTTCTTCAACATATCTGATAGCTTCCCTCCGCAGATTTTCATAGCGAGCAGCACAAGAATCTTGAGAACCGATAGGCAAACCAAGAGCCTGCTCATCCAATACAATCCCACTTTTGGCATTTCTTGTCCACCTCTTCAGTATATAATGGGATGGAAGTGTAAGAACATTTGTCACCCTAAAAACTGCTAAAATGTGTCTACAAGTAATTCCTGAAAATTCAAACATTCGGCAGCTACAGCTTGCTTTCTTGTCAAACACATTGAACCTAACAAAGTGTGCCTTGTGGTCTTCCCCAAATTTCGCCACTCGATACATGGTCTCCAATCCTGTATCATCAACAATAGTTGCAGGATAAGCAAGAGTCTCAACTAGTTCCTCTTGGAATTTCATGAATACCATCTTTGTGAAAACTTTTGCAGCCTGTTTCTCCATGGGAGAAGGCGTCTTCAGAAGAGGAGTGGTGTTCATCGTTTCGTAGTCCGACTTTACTTCCTTCTCATGGCGAGTGGCAATTGCCTTCTCATATTGCTTGATGAGCGCCTGAATTGTGGTTGATGCGTTGATGTACCCGTCGAAATATGAATTTACGTTATCACTTCCCTGCATCGTGGTCATCTCACCAAAGAATACATCCCTAAGAAACACCGGGACCCACTGCTGGCGAGCATTATACATCGACTGAAGCCATTCGTTATCCCTAAGACTGTACTTTTGGAGCAGGGACTCCCAACAAGACTCAAAGTCATCAACTGTCTCTGTGACATTGATGCACCTTAGAAACTCGGCTTCAAACGTGGGGTGTGAGTGATACACATCAGATAGTTTCTCCTGAGCTTCCCTAAACACATTCCATTTACAAAACCGGTGGCGGCTTCCAGGGAACACCTGCATAACAGCAGACCGTATAATTCTATCTTGATCTGTTGTGATTGAAACAGGATGTTGACCAGACATTGCAGCTAACCAAGTTTGGAATAGCCAAACGAAAGACGACTCAGATTCATTGAGGAGCAAAGCGCATCCAAATAAGACAGGCTGCCCATGATGGTTCCATCCCGTGAACGGGGCAAATGGCACCCGGTAACGGTTAGTTCTATATGTTGTGTCAAATGTAACGGTGTCTCCGAAGTAGCTATAGTTCATTCTTGAATTCGCATCTGCCCAGAAAACATTACCGGCCGTTAAGTTGTCGGTATCGGTATCATCTCCCTGAATGGCACAGAAAAAAGCAGGATCCTCATCCTGCATTAGCTTCAGATAGTCAAAGACAAGCTGCCCCCCGCTGCCTAGACTCCTCTGCCTACTACTGCTCATGTAATTCTGGCAATCCACCTTCGTAAAACCAACATTATTAATCCCACCAGATTCCTTAATCAAAACAGACATTACACCACTGGGGCCCATCCCGGCAGCCTGAAGGGTATCAATGAGACTGCGAGCGGGGCCAGATACATGGCGGTGGGAGCGGAGGGAATGCACCTTATCAGGAGGAACAAGCTCGTGGTTGTGCTCCTTCACCAGCTTGGAAACGGCCCATTTCCCAGAACAAGTCTGCTTCTTGACCGTCATCTGGGCCTTACAACCCACCCTGGTGATGGTGCGCTGGCGCTTGGACCTTGACGCACAAGAATAAAATTGAACTTCAGCATAAGATAACTAAACATTTCTAACTGTTGTTTCTCTAGTTATTATTCATGCATTTCAATTATCAAACGGACACCTTAATAAACTAATCAATCTTAAGAATTTCAAAGTAGTTAGTACTGAATCAAATAAAATACTATAAATAGATTTAAAAGGAAAAAAAAAAAAAGAAAAGAATGAAGACAATGGAAATTGGTGGTCGGTAATAAGATGAGAAAGAGAAGAAATTAACCTGTTATCGGAGGAGGACTGGCGGCGGAAGCCCTCGCGGGAGCAGACGATTTGGCGGCAGATGATGGAGCCGTCGCGGCGGGAGCGCTGGTAGACGCTAACGCGGGTGCTGAAACCGACGCGGCGAGCGTAGGAGTTGTAGAAAATGCGGGCGGATTGCTCGGAATCGAATTCCATTCCCTCGTAGGGCTCGAGATTGGGGTCGGCGTCGGAAGTGGTGGCGGTGGTGGAGTAATCGTGAGCCCTAGCTGAAGAAGTAGAAGTAGAAGTAGAAGTAGAAGTAGAAGAAGAGGAAGAAGAGCCTTGCCTCTCCAACATCATTAAATCATCGAAGTCGCCGAAATCAACAACGGCGTCGGTTTCCATATTGAGAGGCTCGAAATCCATGGCCAAACACGAAACCAAATTACCTGGCTACGGACTCTCGGGAGTTTTTCTTGTTCCATTCCATTGTTAGACTTTTTGATCAATAAATTGAACGACAAAGTTGCGAATTACAAACTCAACTGAATGAGTTGAGTCTGAGAGAGTAGAAACTGAACTGGAAGTAAAAAAAGAGAAGCAGTAGGAGTACCAGATAAGAGACAAGGGCACAAGGCAGTTAGTTTGTTGTTTGTTGCTTGTTGGGTCTACTTTTTGAGAGGAGGGAAATGAGGGTTTGTTTGCGACTTTGGAGGAAAAAAGTTTAGGGTGTCGCAGAGAAAGATGTGTCCTTGTTCCTCTTTCTAACTTTCAAGGACAGCCCACGATCTCAACTCACGCCATTATAATAAAAAAAATTAAATATAATTTTTTATGAAAATTTTTAATTGTAATAAAATTAAAATTAAAAACTCAAATAAAAACTTACTTTTATTTATTTATATTTATTTTTGGAGAATTCTATAAAATAATATTCAAATAATTAGGTTCTATTCCGGTAGGTGTTTTTTTTTTTTTTTTTTTTTTTTTTTTTCTATTCTAAAATAGTCTTAAAATTTCATCCTCTCGCTTTGCTTTTGGATTTTTAAGCCTCATGACCTCTCAATTTGTTAGTTTTAATTCTTTTCCAGAATAAAATATTCACGTGATGCAGACAGAAAATAAGTAAGATTGAACTATTTTTAGAACTTTTTTTTTTTTCATGTGATTTTGAACCAATCCAACATAGTTTTATCTTTTTGTTTTGTCAGAGATTAGAGAAGAAGCATTACTTACAACGTCTCATAGTGATATGTGACAATATCCTCAAAAACAATTAATGTCGTTCGGCTATTTGGAACCAATTCCATTTTATGTATTAAATTTAAGGTTAAACATAAAAAGAGGCCACAAATTCAGTACAAACGAAAAAGTCCAATTAATATTATCACCAAATACCATTCCTTCCTATGTTGCTAGACTCAACTCAATTACTCAAAAGAAAAATGTGCAAGTTTCGAACCATTTCAAACTGCTGCGTCATAACATACAAAAATTTCCCCCTCAAAAAAAAAAAAAAAAAAAAGAGCTCAAAAAACTCACTTATTTTGCATAGAAAGTTTCATCAGATGCTGGGGAAAAACCGTTATTACTAGCATAACTTAGTTCGGCATCTGAAGTTTAGGATTATGCCTAGCGAAAAATTTGAGACGACAAAAACACAAAGGTTTTGAAGTTCTGATTAACCACAGGCCGCGTAGCCATCCAAATGTACTTTCAGAGTTTCAATGGGGTGACTGGCTGTTGAACGAAGGTGAAGACATAGTCGATAGAACATCTGTTACGGAGGCCATCACGCTCAAAGCGGCTTTTAGAACATCCTGCGAGCACCCCGGCTTTACAATGGTTCGGACCTGAAAAAAGGGAGCGAAGGCAACTACATTAGCACTATGCTGATGTCATGTCACAGTAAGATTCCAACAAATATATTCTCAAAGATCAGGTTGAAATTTTATAATAAATTTACAGAGAGAAGAAAAAAGGGTGTAGAACTATGATCACCTTGTCAAGATATTCCTGAAGCTTCTTGATACGGCCCATGTAATCCTGGTCTTCAACACAAAGCGTCACAGCCTTGGCATCAGCACCAGGACCATCAAACTGAAGTGGTCCGGGATTTCTGTAGAGATCATCTATCAAAAGTTGTGTGGCATTTTGTCTCAGCAGCCTGCAACCCAATTCATCAATCGGTTAACAAAGATTTAACATGAACTCTAACCTAAATGCTTTAATATACCAAATGAAATTGCAGAGCCAATGGCAAGTAGACTTACTCATATGCTTTGCCTTTCAAATCTACGGTGGCGGGATGAATGGCAGGTTTTCCAATAGATGAGGCACCAGGATTTTGAGACCACCGCTTCACAGTCATCATCACCTAATAGTGTTCATTGAACACAACAAAAAAGTTGTCAGAATTCCAACCGTGCGATCAATACAAGAAAGCAAAGACAAGCAAGGGAATTGTATAGGTATAAACAGGAAAAAAAAATCCTTACTGTAATTGGAGTAGCACCACAACGCCACTTGTTCACCGGATTCTTCAGGTTAGTTACAGTTGCCATGTAACCATTCAAGCCAGCTGCCAAAATATGGTAGCAGATATGCCCCAGAACCTACAAGGATAATATGATAGTATACCACATTCAAAAGAGAACAATCAATAGCTTAGATACTGCAACTGACAGTGATTGTTAGGAGTAACATACATAGGCATAATCACAATCGAATTTTGATGGTAAAGATCCCCGAGCCTGATAACCAAAGAAGTGGCAGATAGCAATAAATTTCTTTCCCTTGTATGTACCCTCTTTCTGTGAAAGCCATCAAAGAGATCAGTTAGTAAAGAATGTCCAGAAAACAAAATAACATCATTGAAATATGATTAACAGAAATGTATAAAGATAAATACAGACAAGTTGTAATTTGAGAGAGATATTATACCTGACGCTTGTTCATTTCTGCCTCCACAAGGTGTGCTAGAAGTTTCTCTGTTTCAATCTGGAGGAAACAAAAGGATTAAAAACCTAGAGGCTAGAGGTTTGATAACTCCTCACAACTTAGGGTATATCTGAAGCCAATTACCTGGGACAATTGTGCAGAGTCATCTGATTCCGGGTAAAGCAGCAGCTGTAAGAATAGATAATAAGAGACAGAAAAACCGAATAAATAGATAAGTCTCAAGTTTAAACGAAATCCATTATTTGCTGAAACCAACCCTCAAAATGAGCCCATAGAACGAATTAATACCTGTCTCTTGATAAAGGGAGGCAAAAACTCAAACAAAGCAGAGGCCCAGGGTGAAAGTTGAGAAGAAATGTTATCAACAGAAACACCTTGCCTAAGCAAACCATGAATTTCCTGAGACAAACAAGAGAAAAGTGTTGAAGCATGATACACGGAGTGAGATCGAGATCCTACTTTAAGAAGCAAAAAAAAAATGAAAGCAGAACTGATTACTCGACAAAACTTCTCTTCCAATGAGAAAAAGATCTGCCAAGAAAGAAGTTAGTTTGGCATTACGTACCTTCAAAAGGGCATAGACTTCAGGAATGCTTTCTATGAGTCCTTCCGGAAGTAGGATGACACCATGGTACTTGTCTGTCCAAATTCGTTGCTTAAGTAACCAAGAAAGAAAAGAAACTGCAAATGATAAAAATAACCAAAACTAATTGAAACCTTGCTCTGCACGGGCTTGAACTGCATCACAAATTTGCTTTGTTATGTCAAAAAGAGTCAGCTTTGATGCAGCAACCTCCTCACCAAGAATGACCTGTTTAGAGCGTAAAAGTTGAAATAAACATTATATAAAATTGAGAAAAAAGGAAAAGGTATTGATCGCCCCCTTTGTGATCAAAATAAGGTGAATTAGTGCCAGACAAGAAGTGCTCACCATATTTGGATGGGACTGGAGGGTGCACTCAAGAGCAACATGTGAATGCTTTCGGCCCATTAGTCGAATAAAATAATAATACTGCAAACAAAGGGAAAAAAATTCAAGTCTATTAATATTTCATATAAGAACTTTCTTATTTGCAAGAGAAAAAAAAGGTCCGAACACGTAGTACCGAAAGATATAGGAATGCAGAAAGCCAGAAACTATAATAGTGTAAAAAGAATTATAACATGGTCGGTTCACTTAAGGAGTACATTACCTTCTCGGCAGAGAGAGCATCAGTACAGACATTGCTGATAAGCTGGGAGTTAACCTAATTATAAGAAAAAGTTTTAGTACACAATTTTTGAAGTAAATAGGATGTAAAAGGATAGTCTTAAAACGGATCTAGCACAGAGGGAAAAAAAATCATCTACTTCCTTTCTAAATATCCACTTGTTACCATTTCAACGCTGAATTTTCACTTTTCTATTGGTCGTACCTTCAAATTAATCCAATAGCCGTTTTGTATTATAATATTTTTGTCACAGGAATCAGATAATATACTGGTTACTGAATACAACAAGAGGGGGAGGGGGGAGGGAGTGTGGAAGCATAGTAAAATGCCCAAACATGTATAAACAACAGTTTGGCAAATAGCCAAATACCTTGCATATTGTATCGAAACCAACATTAGTTTCCACAAACTGGTTCTTGAGGTCTCCGTTCAACGTGACAGGAACTCCAACCACCTACAAGTTCAACCACCGCGATCACTTTTTATATTAAGATGGAGCCAGAAACACAAATGGAAAAAAGTTCCCCAAGTTTAATTAAGACTTAAAAAGCATCGTCATCAAAACTAAAATGATTATGGGCCTTTGTTTTCCCTCAATGATCATACTTTGCAAATAGATTATACAATATCAAGTATAAAGTACCTTTGTTGGGCATTTTGCTTCGGCAAATGTTTCTGCAAGTTGGGCAGCATCAGTGGTGGATGTCACCCCTGCAAAAATAACAAGATTTTGAATTAATCTCTCTCAAAGTTATATTATGCTGGCTAATGAATCCTTATGCATTCCATTCACCTCCAATTATGACAAGGCCAACTAATTTCAAGTCCTTGCATGCAGTTAGTGCAGCGTTAACTTGCTCAATTGTTCTAATTTGATCTTTTGTCCGTCCCAGCAAATCATAACCACCTTGTCAAGCACAACAATAAAACACTGCTCATAAGTGTATGGACCAGCAAGACATTGATTGCCTCAATACCACAATTCTTTCCAAGACTACCCACCTTGATTCTTGTAGGTTGCAAGAATGTCATCCGTTATCTCAAGAGTTTTCTGTGCAAATAAACCCTCAGAACCACCTGTTGGTAAATAAAATTATCATCAGTAAGTTATGTCCCTTCATCCCTGAAACTAAAAGATTGAAGACAAGTACGTAGCAACCGTTGTATAGCAAAGAAAACCTGCTAGCATTTATGACACTAAAGATACTGATGAAAACTCAGTATGCACAGACAAGCACAACCCGATTTGTCCAAGAAACTAAAACCCGAAATGGAGATTACAGGATAGATGCTTACCCAAGAATCCAAGTAAAGTGCTGTTTGGGTTGTGAAGTTTAAGAGCATTGTAAAGACCCCATATGACATTGTGTCCTCCAGGAGATTGTCTACCACAAAAGACTATTCCCACCCTGTTCAAAGACAACATGTTAGACATCATTTTCCAACTAAATGAAACCACAAAACTAAAGCCATTATTGCCAGAGTTAGCATCTACATATGTTATATAATGGTGCACTAATATGCATTCACACAGGTTGCTCAAACACGACCCGAAGTACATGCAGATGCTTCCCCACAGAGGAGAAAATTTAAGAAAATGCAAGCACCCTGGTAGTCAGTCAAACTAAATAGTAGTAACAGAAATGGAAAGAGGTTTCCTCTTATCACACTTGGGAGGTGATCACCATCTTATCATGACCTTGATATATTTCTTTACTTCAGTAAGCTGGAAGAGCATATACCTTTTAGCTGGATGCTCGGTTATGATATGAGCATCAGGTACTTTCGCAGTGGCCCTGAGAAAGTGAGCCAATGGCTGACCATAAGTATGAGGGAAGGATCGGCTGATGGTGTGGACATCCGTGGGGTCCAAAGTTGTAGTCGCATCACCAAATTCAACCCTCACAGTAGTTCCCTGTATAGTGTATAGTGACGATGCATAAGCAAAAACCTCAAGGAAAAAAATAATAAAAGCGTGCATGAAAGTTTTAACACACTAAAGTGCATAATATCAAGTTAACAATTGGTCAAAATCAATGAAATATGTGGAGAACTCTCTAAACTTTCCCTAAAAATACATGTTTTCAAAAGCCATTCGTGGCAGAGCCACATATAACCCCGGTGAATATTAAAATTTTAAGACTTGCCGTTATTTGATAAAAAAAACTTATAATTATAGCCCACTTAAAGTTAAAAAATTATAAGTATATATCATCTAACAAAAAGATGCTCTCGTATTATTTCATTTTATGCCCAGTCCACTAAAAAATTCTAAGACTACGCTAATTGACATAGTACATCCCCTCCCTGAGGTGAAATTGTAATTACCAACAGTCATTAGAGTGGGAAAACCCTTAATTAAAAAAAAAGAAAATTCAAAAGTAATTTTTCCTTTCTTCGCTGAAAATATTGAGTAATTTCAACTCGAAGCAATTAGGCAGCGTTTGGTAAGAGGCAAAAGAATTAAACATGAATGAAAGATATATATATATATATAAACATATATATACACACACACACACACACACACTCACAGAGAACTTAGGTAAGGAAAATAAAGAAAAAAGGAGGACCTTTCTTCGGAAGGATCAAAAGTGGAGTTGGATCCCTCACTCAATCCGTTCCCTTTTCGACGCCCTCCTACCAAACAACATTAAATTTGAAAACCATCCGCCAAACCA